GAAAATATTCAAAGATCTTTGTAAATCCTCTGGATTATCAGATAATAAAACTGTGTCATCAGCATAAAAAAGTCTAAAAAGTTTAAACATTATCTGCATTTCAATTTCTAATTTTTCATCAAATCTCGTAACCCCTTCAATATTATTCTGCAATAAATAGTTTTCTAAATTGTTAATATATAAAGTAAAAAGAAATTGGGATAAATTTTCCCCTTGTCTTACCCCAAGGTTACACATGAAAAATTCAGAGATATTTTGATCAATATATATCTTCGATTTAATACCACTGTACATATTTTTGATAAATCTTAGACATTTACCATCTATACCACTTTTAAACACTTTGGACCACAAACCAGATCGATCGCCAAGCAGCATCAAAGGCTTGCTTAAAGTCAATAAATGCACAATAAAGTTTTTTCTTACTAAAAGAAACAAATTTACACAAAAAATCTAATATCAATATGTTATCTTTTGTACCATATCCTTTTCTAAAGCCAGCTTGGGCTTCAGTAATCAATTATAATTCATCAGAAAAAGTATCCAAACGCTCACATAAAATACTGGTAAATACTTTTCCTAAACAGCTTAATAGTGTTATTGGTCTATAGTTTTCAGGAAGAGGTGGGTCTTCCTTGTTTTTATACATTGGCCTAACGATACCAATAAGCCATTCCTCAGGTACAAAACCATTATCAAAAATCAAATTGAAAAGGTCAACATATAGTGGCAAAAAACATGATATTGTTGTACTAATATATTCGTTACAGAATTGATCATACCCTGGAGCTTTATTATTTTTCAGTTTGTTAACTGCTTGCAAGATTTCTTCTGCAGAGATTTGACAATTTAAAGGGGCGTTATTATCGAAATTGACATCATTATCATCTACATCACCTTCATCATCTTTAGATTCATTATTTTTTTTTCTTCAAAAAATCGTACATTGCTTTGATATCAACTTCAGTTTTACATCTAGCCTTCGAACTATTTAAAATTCTCCAATATTCCTTAATATCACTTTTCTGTAAATTTTCTAATTTTGACGTTATAGATAAAGAATATTCTTTAATACATTTATCCATTGTTTTCTTGTATTCTTGTATTTCTTAAACACGAAATAGTGAAGTCATCTTAAATTACTTGAAATATATCATTAAATCAATCATTGCTCTCATATGAACTGAAGTGCCAATCAATTATTGCTCTCATCAATTGAATTAATGCGAATTATTGATGCTGGCAAACATTAGAAAAATTAAGGCGCGCATCATTTGAATTGATGAGATCAGTAATTGATTTGATGCTAGCAGCAATTAAATTCAGTCATTCTTCTCATCAGTGGAATTTAACTCGAGCCCCAACAATGTGATGGCATTATTAATATTGCTGAAATATTTAAAATTTCTAACCAATTATCACATGTTTTTTTTTATCATTTCAATTTACATGCTTTATTTGAATATATCTTTAACACAAGTAACATAAAAAGTATGTTAATTTGGCTGGTATGGCAGAGCTTCCATATTTCCTTATATGCTCAAGCATGCACATCGTTTAGTCTCCCCCAAAGTAAATTGATTAAAAAAAAATTAATACTCCTTCAGGGCATAGGATACTCAAAATCAAAGGTTGTACATATTTTATCATTGACAAAACTATAATTATCACGAAGTTTGCATAGAAAGCCATCTTCGTATATGAATTTTCTCTTAATTTTTACTTTCATATTTATACTGAAATTCATTGTAGGAACACGATACAAAAATGTTATCACTAAAACACCCTTTTAAATTTTCTGTTTATGTACACTTTATAATGTATTTCATTAACTTATGATTGATTTATCTTCTTTAAAAAATTTTCAAATACTCTATTAATGTAGTACCGAGAAATTTCAGTCGCCCAGTATGCCTCACTAGAATAAGAACAAAAATATATCTATTCTCCAACTTCTTCTGTGAATAAAATGGCTTTGGATCGTCAAAATTCCGGAGCTTTCAGGGACTTTAGTCCTCTGCGCCATCATCTGGGCTTTGCCCTAAATCTATCAAGGGTATGGAGGCGGCTTGAGACACCCTGTCCGTTTAGAGAATGCATTTTAGCATTTTCTAGCTAAAACACATGTTTCTTGTTAGATAGCGTATTTTCAAATCATTGAAAGTCTCCCCCACCGGTCAATCTGAGCAGTAGGGTGTTACATGTAAAACACACTTTCCCAAGCGGTCAGGGAGTCTTCGCATCTTCTTAACTATACATTAGGGTATATGACTATATGTAATCTTTTAAGAATTTTCTCTTGAAAATGGTTAAAAATGGAACTGCGAAGTATTTTTATCATTATCATTATTCATTTTTTATCATGTTTTTGCATTGTATATATAGATATTGTACCTCTGAACAGTTTATATGAAATATATATATATATATATATATATATATATATATATATATATATATATATATATATATATATATATATATATATATATATATATATATATATATGTTATAAATGTATCCCATGTACTATTATTTTGGGTTGGGTGAATGAACTGAACTTGCACTTGAACTTGGGCGATTATCATTGGGTATTAATGAGAATGAATTATCATTAATACAATTAATTCCACTAACTTTTTGGTTACCCAGATCACGGAATATTTACTGTTTTGAAACTATGATGAATTGACGTTCGAGTTTGTTTTTTTACTAACTGACCACACGATTCTTCACACAGGGATTTTTTGGGAAAAATTTAAAGAAAATTCGATGCTGAAAGAATATATATTTCAAACATGCCACTACTCTAAATTTTGAAAGAACTTATAAATCGCAAGTTATCTAGCTTAATGCCAAGCAGCTAATATTGACTGCTGATAATAGCAGTATTGCTTCGGATGCTGCTTTTTCCTTCATTATCAGCAAAAGTGACCATTTAGGTGCTTAGGGAGTAGCTTTTTTCGTAACTTTAACAAGCATTTTGAGAGTATTGCATATGCAATGCTAGCACCCTACCGGCAAATGTTATCTGGTTCTCCTAAAAAATTGAAATGCCCGTAATTCCGTCAAAACTCTTGAAAGCAGAAATTCAAACTTGATCTGTAACTTAGTAAAGGTAGACTCACATACCAAACATCAGTTCAATATTTGCAAGCTGTAGAAAAAGGGCGGAAAATTCAAGTGCCATGGGAAGGACTTACAGAGGGACAAACAGGCAGACAGTTGAGGAAAGAACCGTTTTTACCAGTAGGGGACTAGTTTTTAGCTTAACGAATCTTGCACAGATGTTACATGGAAAGAAAAGATACAAGACATGCTTAGGATACTGCTTGAAATACATTTTCTGAATGAGTGAGAGCATCAGATCAGTTATTCCTCTCATCAGCTGGATTTATACGCGCAACTATTCAATAAAGGAGAGCAATAATTGATTTGATGCGCTTATCAATTGAATCGAAGATAGGCCTATCAATACAGTGGCGGAAAATTTACTCGCAAAGAATCAATTTAGAGATTGTCTTACAAAAGATTTTTTCCGTTCTTTCATTAAAAGAAAGTATCGTTCATTCCATTATTAATAATAAAAAATGAATTGATGATGTCCTTGATTATTAAAAGATATCTTCAATTATCGACTCTGAGATTAATGTTAATTAGAGTTTATGTTAGACCGCCGCTGTACATGCTGTATACATGTATATGTCAACATGGGAACAGCTCTGATAACATACATTTTTGCCGTATATCCAATCTTTTCCTTTGATCTTGTATACTGTCTTGTACATAAATACACCATTTATACCAGTAAATAAAATAAAATAAACGGTGCAATTAAAAAATTAAACATGATCACTAGCTGTAGTGATTTTCCTGTGTGTTTATAACCTTGTAGTGAATTGACGGTTGAATTAGCTGTACTGATTTGCACGTGTGTGTTCAATAAGTGTAAAAATGTAGTGAGATTCATGTCGAATTTCAATATACTTAAAGTAAAAGATATCAAAAATTCCTATAGATACAGAGAAATCCTAAGGTTAACCTCGTTATATTCTGGTCTTACTTTCTCTTTTTCAAGCCTCTAAATCGGTGAAGCGAGATGAAGGTAAAATTTCAAATGTAGTCAGTTGGCTGGATTTACAAACAAGGGTGTGTGTGTGTGTGTGTGTACAATTCCTATGGAAATTTTTAAAATGTGACAAAATTTTAATTTCCTTTAAAGACAGAATATTACGAGATTTTTGCTCCAGCAGACGAGGTTAAAGCGTGTTTTACAATGTGCCAAGCATTTTCCCGCCACATCTCAACGAAACTGAAAGAGAAGAAATGCAGTGGTGGATCTAGAGGGGATTGTGGGGTTTCAACACCCTTCGTTGGCTTTGCCTAAGAGAGAGAGAGAGAGAGTGAGAGTCTCAAATACTAGTACTTGTTGTGTTTTTACTAAAGTAAATGTTCCTTGAGAGACTACTTATAATAATGTTGTTGAAAAATAAAATCCGCGCCTGCAATGTCGCATGCACTGTTTTATGTCACCGGGATATATTAACAGATATATTAACAACAGATCACGCATTTCAGTCTGTTGCGTCATAAAACATGTAAAAGGAACAAATGGTTTGCAGCCGTTTTTTGACGCTTGCGTCAATATGTTTCTTGTAAATATAGAGATAGTTCGCTAACTTTTTAATCACCCCTCCTATAATGCATAGATGTTTTCTCCAGGTTCTATATACTACAGAATAATTCGAATGTATAAAATGTTATCAACTGTTATTGCACATTATTTATTTAGAATACCTAATGCGAGCAATTCAAAGTTTATCCCGAAGGTAAACGGAAATTGTTGAATAACAATACAACCATGAGCGCGTCAAGTACAGTAATCTATCGGCTGATGGACTGTACTCGAAAATTAGTCGTGTAGATTTAAAAGACGACGCCCGGACGTATAACGGGATTCCGGATATGCTTCAGTGAAGCAAATCATTTCTCTTATCACGTTCTCCACAATAATGAAAAAGACATTTTACATTTAAAATCACGGGAATAATTTCAAATCGATACACTTCTTTTAGAATGGATTATAGTTTCAACGGAATTTTACTTCTTTGTTTTTGTTCATCTTTCAGTACAGGTAAGTTATTAATATGTATGTATAAATTTTACAAGTGATTGTGATGCGATTATTTGAATGTCTACATTTTTCGATTGAAAAAAAAAACCCAGTTCAAATCTACACGTACAAAAAAATTCAACATGTTTGTACAAAAAGAAAAATATACCATTTGATAGATTATGTCATTTTTTTTTTTTTTTTTTTTTTTTTTGAGAAAAAAACATATTTCCTAAATTTCATTGTCACGGTATTTTTTTTTTATTGTACGTTTAATGATATTCAGATGGTATCATGTTCGGTTCGCAGTATAAAAAGGGTTTAAATGTAGAATAAAGTTACATAATTTTGAGAACTTAGGGGAGTGACAGCCCAGCCATTAGTCTGTTGACACGGCCATCAGTACTGTTCTATTGACTCTGTCATTTCGTTGGATTTTAAAATACCCGGGCTTATATTTTTATTTATTTATCCACTTTTTTCCCAAACCACGTATTTACCTTTACTATATGAAGTACCAGGGAAACACTGGCAAGAAAGGGCCATTGTAAATTCTAGTTACATTAAATAATTAAACAATCGTTGATTATTGTCAGTCAGAGCCGGTATTTCCCGGGAGATATGTTAACGTCAATATTGAAAATGAAGCGACTGTATCGACAAATTTAAAACTGGCCTATCTCAATCACAGAACACATCCTTAGTTATATACTTATAGCCATGTAAGAAACAATACATATCTCAAGGTCATATATCGCAAGATTTGTTGATAAAAGAACAGTTTTTGTTAAAATAAAGTACAGAAAAACTTTGACTACAAATAGCATTTTTAAGTATATTAAACATACAAATCCATGTTTGTTTATTTTTTTTATTTGCTGTATACTGCAGGGTGAAAATTTTGGCTGAGTGAATCATTCAGCGAAATCTGTTGATCCTTTGAGCGAAAATTCCCCGTGATTTGTGGGTAATTTTCCCCATCTTCACAAATTCAGAATTTTACTGCTTCAATAAAATGTAGTCAAGGTAATTCTGTGGCTTTTATTTTACCTGTTTCGGTAAATCTTTATGTGCAAACTGGAGGCGAGAAAGATAATATCTCAGGTATTGAAAACAAGTTTGCGCATCACCACTTCGTTTAAGTACAAGACTATTCCATCAGAAATATAAACATTAACTTATTCGCCTACAAACCTTCTGTTTGAAATGCTCTCTTTAGATGACACAGAGATGTTTTGATATTTACCTTGATTTTTTGTTATATATATATGATGAATCGGTTTTGTCATGGGAATCCGACCTAGATACTGAATCTGTTTTATTGATATTACGCACGCAACTCTCCAATAAGATAAATTACTGAGCAGTTGATAATTACTTATCAATTTAGGAAAAAATTTATTTGTCCCATTCTTTTTCCCAAATGCATTTTCTTCAATTAAATTTGGATAAGTCATTTTTGTTCATCACTATAACTATCTTACGTCTGTGTTGTACTGGTATCTGTGTTCGAGATAACGAAGTTCAACTGTATACGTAATCAAGGCCTTCGCCACGTGGATGTCTTAGCAAATCATTCCAAACATCTAATAAATGAAGACACACCAACTTTATTAAACTTCTGATAGGGAAGTTCTATGCAAATTTGAAAAAATAATTAAAGGTAAAATAATTTTTTAAAAAACTTTTTTATATATAAACATTTTAAAAGAAAATTGTAAACCATTCAGCATTAAGGCTTATTACTGAGGCTGATTATAAAAGGATATTTATGAGTTACAACAAATATAATCAAGGAATACCTTTTCCCTATGTTGACTATTGTTTATTTTATGAACCGATGTCACTTACATAATGCTAAAAACACACTAAATTAACCCTTCTTTTCGCATCAATTGTAAAGTATCTCATACTACGTATACACTGTATGTAAGATGATCTTTATGCTAATACGGGAAATATTTTTACCCATTGTTACTGAATTTATATGCTTGTAGGAAAAAATTATATCCCAGCTGAGTTATCATATTGATTATAAAGGCATTCTCACTATTTGTTCTTTATAATTGACATTAGATTCGATCTAATGTAATGAAATGTATGCAAATAAGATAAGGCTTCTTTGTAAGGCTTGTCAAATGTTGCAATATTCGATCTTTTCCATTTGTATTGTGTATTTCATAATTTTCTATTTGTATTTTATAATTTTACAATGGTATTGTATGTTTTACCTATATATGTACTATTATATATTTAACATTTTTTTTGGTATAATTCTTTATTTGTATTTCATATTTTTTAATTTGAATAACATATTTTTTTTTGTATTCTATAATTTCTATTTGCATTCTGTATTTCGTTATTTATATTATATAATTTCCATTTGTATTGTATAATACAACAATTTCATTCAATAATGTTTCAATTTGTATTGTACGCAAATTTCATTTGTATTTGATAACAATATTTATTTGCATTCTATAATTTGTAGGGTATGTTAATTTTCCTTGTCAGTATAGATTTTATACAAACAAAGATATATGGCAGGTTCCAGTAAATGTTCAACCAAGCCCCTATCCTTACTTCTCGCCTAAATATTAACTGCTGTGAAGGAGAAACTTCAGACGTATTGTGCCACAGCATATTCAAGAAGTGGTGTAAATCATACGTACATTCTAAAAACCTCCAAAAAACTTTTAGAAAATTTAAAATCTCAAAACTTTTCAAGTATCAATAGCAACAAAACATATGAGTTGTCTACAGTCTATCCAACCATTCTCCACGATAAATTAAAGAGCAGACTTTTTTGACATGATAGAGACAACTGCTTTCTCAGTAAAATGGAACTCGTGCATTTTCATATCTTGAAGTTGATATTAAAAAAATTCTGGAGTTTCTCATTGACAGTATCTATGTAACATTTGGAGACCAGGTCTTCCAACAATCTATTGGAATTTCGATAGGCACCAATTGTGTTCCTTTACTGCCTGACCTGTTTTTATATTCCTGTGAAGCACTATTATACGAGAAGAAGAAAACTCTTGCTGTACGTGTGACCTTTAATTCAACATTTAGAAATATCAAAGACGTTTTATCAATTAATAATAGCTACTTCCCTTCAAACGACCGGTTACGGTAGCCTAGTGGTAGGGCGTTCGCTTCGTGATCGGGAGGCCCGGGTTCGATTCTCGTTCGCCGCGCTGCGTCGAACCTAAGTCATAAACAAAGGTAGTGATTGTTCCTTCGCCCAGCGCGCGTCTTTAAAAGGTGAAAGTCAAGGGTCTTTGGGATAAGACCTTAAAAACCGAGGTCCCGTGTCACGGAAGGCGTTGGCACGATAAAGAACCATCAATTTGAAGCCCTTCACCACTATATAAGTGAAAAATTTTCAAATTGGACGTAAAACAACATTTAATCAATTAATCCATTTAAACGTCGATTCGATATACATGTACACTGTACATGTATTCCAGTGAACTCGAAATAAAAGAAACTTTGTGGTGTCTTTTATTTCGAGTTCACTGAGATGTATCGAGTCGACATATGAATAGAAGTAACTATTGTTAATTGATAAAACGTCGTCGATACATCTGAATGTTGAGTTGAAGGTCAAAGCAAATGTTTTCTTCTTCTCATGTTGAAATTTTTAAATAAATTCTGCTTCAGAGAAATATACAAACAGTGGGCTAATAAAGTAGCGCAATTAGTGCCCATTAGAGTACCGTCGTAACAAAAAAAGAAAGAAAATACACACATCCCATAATTCTAATTTTAGAACACAAATTAATTTTGTTTTCGAATTCGCATTCAGAAATTGAAACATTATAGAATGCAAATGCTGCATCATACAAAATAAATGGAAACCATGAAATATAAATAAAGAAATATATAATACTTTATACAAATAGAAAACATACAATACAAATAAAAAATTATACAACACAAATTGTGAAATATACAATACAAATGAAAGACATACAATACAAATGAAACAATCGAATATTGCAACGTTTGACACAGCATATCTCTGAAAGTGAGAATTAAACTTATATCGTACATTGCGATTTTTTTTTTTTTTTTTTTTTTTTTTTTTTTTTTTTTTTTTTTTTTTTTAGTTGAAATTCTCTTTGTCAGTTCGTTTCCCTGTTCTTGTTATATGTGACATTAATTTTCATACGTAATTTACCGTGTTCAATGTCATTACCGAATTTTAATAGTGACAAAGGTTTATGTCCCTGACATAGATGAATAACATTCAAAACATTTTCTTTTTCATCCTAGATCTAAGCAATTTAAACTTCTTATTTCATTCAATTGTGAAGCTGTTTACAGCCAGGCGCGTAGCTGCCTATACGCAAATACGCAAGTGCGTACACATCATTTTCAGAAAAAAGAAAAGAAATAAAGAGAGAATTATTCGGAGAAAAAAAATCTCAGTACCATCCAACATATATTCGTGTTTCAAATTATTCTGTGTCATACTGTGTCGATTTAAATTTTAAATTATCATGGCTGTATGATAAAATTGAAATCTTTTATTTAATAACTGACAAATCCAAATAAATCATTCATTATTTTGTCATTGTTCTATCATACATTGATATTTTTTAAAAAGATCTTTGAAAAATTAAATTTCAGCCACATCATTGAATGCTATGATCTACTAGTATGATTTACAATACGATATTTCTTTGTTCATAATTAAAATTTTGTATACGTGTTTTTAAACGTTAAGAATGATTATATGATACCAATTAATATATCGGTTAAATTTTTAGCCTCAATTATATGTACAATAAGTTTCCATGGAATATTAATTTTCGTTAAAACAATAAATATTACTATGTCTTTTATTTCCTAAACAAAAAATAAATGGCATGATTTTAATATTTCAAGAAAATGAATTAATTATTTGGTAAAACTTCGGAGCTTCTGGGCCCTCACCAGCAGGCACGTAGTATCAGGGGAGCCTCCCCCAACTTATTCCCAATACCTAACATTTTACTATTGAAAATGTACATTGACAGGGTGGACCCCCACTGTTTGTTGTACCATTGTTAAATCATGGTAATTTGGTAATGTATCAATAAAAGTTTGGTTTGTGAAAGATGGACCTCCGAATTTTGACAATCTTACTTTTTCGTCCTTGCAAATCAAAATTTTAAAGTTGTATTTTTCTTCCTGGCTGGCAAAAACTATATTACGTGCCTGACCAGAGCCCTTAAACACTGGGGGGGGGGGGCTTAAGACCCCCCGCACCCAACCCCTGCCGTTCTCTGCGTACACATCATTTCTATTCTGGCTACGCGCCTGACAGCTGTTTATCGTTAAAATGATTACAGTATCAAATCTCACAAATACATATTACTAAATTAACCAAATTTTATTTTTCGGAAAGAACTTTGATTTGAAGCACTACTCAGTATATAAAGATCTAAACTAGTTGATGTATGGCTTGCTACACTAATACAAATGTCATTGTATCTACTTATCATACACGTAACTAAATTCTCACACATTCTTATTATAAAATAGTCATGCATAAGAGAATTTTTAGTGGAAAATTTTAAATGTCTACCGTTTTTAAATTGGACTCATGACCTCCTTTTCAAATCAGTAATTTAAAATGATTTTTTTAACGGCGATAATTGTCCATAACATATGTAAATTAAGTTTATCATTTCTACTGTCGATGCTTGCAAATGAATTCTTTAAGAAATTTTGAAATTGTGTGTGCCAGTCACAGATCAAAATTGAATGTACATGTAAAACACTTTCTCTTGATTGTGCTAATGATCTATAAATATCTCTCTCTAAACTAACTATATGATCGGTATCTTTCCAATTAATGAAATTTCTGCGATTTAAAATTAAAGAAATATACGATTAATTTATTTTATACTGTCTGTGGATATTTCATAGTCTTTCAGTAAAATAAATCATCACTTTTGTTTGAAACTAGGTCCTTTCATATAGATGTTTGATTCACAAACACATCGTGTGCCTAGGGGCTCCGTACATGTGACTGCTTGTTAAATATATACAAAGGCTCTAGCAATTTTCTTCTGCAGAAAAAATAAATAAATTGTCCTTATCTTGTGAACATATCGAATTTTTGCACTTCTTGTTTCTCTTTAAATGAACTCGAGAGACGGAGAGATCTATATATTCAATAGCGTGTAAAATTAGAAATGTCTCTCTTTTACAACTTAACAACAAGGTTATGTACATTTAAGGACATATGTACATGTAAACAGGATTTATATCGTTTTGTTTTCGTCATTTCAGTTGATAATCTGAATTAAAGTTAACATTATGTTTTGAATTTTGAAAATTGATCGTTTTTAGACAAGGGTATATTGTCCTTTAATATCTTTTTTTTAATAATCATTTGTCAAACTCATCGTATAATTACACGTTATTAAAAAAAGACCTATGAACCGCTGTATTAATCACGGAAGTAAATCAAAATATGATTGTAACTGAGATTGACACTATTGATAAGCAAGGTCGCCTCTTCCCATGAATTCATCAGACCAAAAGATTACGTTTAAAAAACCAGACTAGTCAAATCTTGACATTCTAAAATTGTTCCTCAATTTTAGCTTGGTCAATCACTGGAATCATTAGCTTTTTAACATATGCTTTCGTACATATAATTTAGTGTAATGAAGTCTTCAACCTGTTTTTGATCAAGCAGATTTAGAAGTACTTTTGAAGCAGGTATGCTTTTGAAATTTAAGGTCTCCATCGCAAAACATGTGTGGTTTAATCTTTGATGCACACAATTTATTTAAATTCGATTCCTATTGTAAACAACATACGAGAGTCAATTTCTATTGACCTTAAAGATTCCAATTCCAAGTACATTAAATGAAGTTTCATTGGCAATTCAACACCACTCAATAGGAAAGATGTCCGACATCAAGCTTTTGAATGACCTTTTAGAAAATTAGTGAGAAATTGTTCATGGTCAATACACATTTTATAGTAAGACAAGAGAGTTAATTTGAAGGGTTTACCTGAGTTTGACAGTCTATGTTTATAACCAGGTCCCCCGCTGTCGCAGTGTTTATGTGTGTGTGTGTCTAGTGAATCACATTCTTTACATAGAATATTCTCTGTAACATGTTTCAGTTGTGATTACATGCTTTTCGTATAGAGTAAGGTGGTGACCTTTTATTTTGACAAAGTTGATGATAGATCGATGTTGTTTGATGATATTGACAATGTCTTACTCAAATTTATACAGTCATGTTTCCTACAATAAGATCTGATGGCTAGAAAAAGCACACACTGGCAATGTCCTATACACAGGCCTTTATATTGCTTCAATTCGACTTATAAAAAAATTGGGTGTAAAAAATACCATTTTTATATTGCTTTAATTCGACTTAGAAAAAAGGGGGTTTAAAAAATACCATTTTTATATTGCTTTAATTCGACTTAGAAAAAAGGGGGTTTAAAAAATACCATTTTTATATTGCTTTAATTCGACTTATAAAAAAATGGGGTGTAAAAAATACCATTTTTATATTGCTTTAATTCGACTTAGAAAAAAGGGGGTTTAAAAAATACCAATTTTATATTGCTTTAATTCGACTTATAAAAAAATGGGGTGTAAAAAATACCATTTTTATATTGCTTTAATTCGACTTTGAAAAAAGGGGGTTTAAAAAATACCATTTTTATATTGCTTTAATTCGACTTATAAAAAAATGGGGTGTAAAAAATACCATTTTTATATTGCTTTAATTCGACTTAGAAAAAAGTGGGTTTAAAAAATACCTTTTTTTGCAAGTCGGATTAAAGTGATCTAAAGGCCTGGGGTCCTATATATGAGGTTTACATGTAATGTAATGCATCATTATCAAAATAAAGTTTAGTAAGCTCTGCTGTACTCCATATAAATTTATTTTCTGTACAAAATTGTTTTTTTATCTCGTTTTGATAACTCATAATGCACAAAACACATGATTAAATTAACATTAACAAAGGTTTCAAAAGCATTTAAATATTTTATGGTCTTATTTTTAAGATTGAAACATTGAATATAGCAACTCTTCATATTGTCTATAATAACGCCTAATTTTTATGTCAATATTCTCATATTTATTGAGTAAACATCATTCATTTACTAAAGCTTTCAAACCTGCAAAGAAAATACACATAAAAAGGTTTACAATTGGAAAGTCAATCAGACAGTTAAGATTTCATTGTATCAAAATCAATTTCAATAAAAATTTTGCAACAAAATATTATTTATTTATTTTATTTATTTATAAATGAATAAAATGTACTTTCTTATGTTTGAGAGTACCTATATTTAAATTCTGTATCGTTTCAGTGATGTTGGCCGTCTCGTCCACTACAATGACTGACGCCTTATGATTAAATTCTGTATCATTTCAGTGATGTTGGCCGTCTCGTCCACTACAGTGACTGACGCCTTATACAACCAACTATTCACTAATAACTATAATGCCAAACTCTTGCCAAAATGTTCCCAGGGTAACAAGGTTGATGTGTTTCTGGGCACCGCCCTCAGACAACTGATGAATGTGGTAATGTTTTAATGTTTTACCTCGACGTGAAACTAGAATTCTGAGAGTACAATTCTTGCAATTCTTGGTGTACTTAAAACTTTCTTTTTGGATATCTGCCTATTATAAGAAAAAATGCAATATTTCTTGTTATGTTTTCTTCTTTTGAAATTAAGAATAAAAGGGTTCAAGAGACATTATACGAACTCTTCTGAGGTTAGAACAAATTCTTTCAATGCCTCATATGAGAAGATAGGGGAAGAGACACAGTAACCTCGGCAGTGTAAAGCGTAGGAAAATAAACTAATCTAATTATATTTAAATATAAGAACAATTCTATTCATATTTAGAAAAAAAATATTTTTGTCAGTTTTATTTTTGTAAATATGTAAGAAATGGAATTGCAAGGTTTTTTTTTTTCAATTTTCTTTTAATAATTAGAGCAATGTTCGTATGTAAATAAGTTTATCTCAAAGATATCTTCCATGATTCGGTCCTATCTCTTTAATTCACAAACTCGTCGTATTTTACTCTTTTAGCAATAAAACAAATTTTCTAAATTTTTAATCAGTACATAAATATTTAACTATTTCGCTGTCCCACTTGATCTATTTTTTATGCGCACACTATGAACAGAATTTTGCAAGGGATCTCATTCGAAATTTGTTAATTAACCTAATCATTTAACAAAAAAGATGTTCACACACACACATATTATATATATATATATATATATATATATATATATATATATATATATATATATATATATATATATATATATATATATATATATATATATATATATATCCTTACTTTGTGCATTCTGTTGTTTGACATTTCGATTTTGTTGCACTCAACGCTTTAATTTTTTTTTTGTTTGTAAATTGACAGAATGAAAAAGACCAGGTCCTGAAGATCAACATTTGGCTGAGACTGGTAAATCAATCTTTACTACTAGATCTATAACCTAGAATATTATAATAAATAAAACAAGGCTTTACTACTAGATAAACTTGAATATTGTAACAAATCTTTTAGTTCTGGAAAAACTTGAATATTATAATAAATAAAGTAAAGCTTTACTGCTAGTACACTAAAATATTATAATAAATAAAACTATTTTTTACTATTAGATAAATAAGAATATTATAATAAATAAAACAAATCTTTAGTACTTAGATAAATAAAAATATAATAAATAAACCAAAGCTTTACTGCTAGATAATACCAAATAAACTAGAACATTGAAATTAAACAAATCTTTACACCTAGAACCACTAGAATATGATAATAAATAAAACAAATTTGAACTTCTAGTTTATCTATAATATTATAATAAATAAAACAAAGCTTTACAGCTAGATACACAAGAATATTTGAATGAATAAAACAAATCTTTAGTACTAAAAAAACTTGAATATTATAACAAATCTTTGATTTCAGAAAAACTAGAACATTACTATAAATAATGCAAAGCTTAACTACTAGATACACTAGAACATAAAATTAAAGATAACATCTTTAGTACTAGAAAAACTTGAATATTATAATATTTACCACTAGATTCACTAGAATATTATAATAAATAAAACAAATTTTTAGTACTAGAAAAACTTGTATATTATAATAAAGGAAGAGAAAAATAAATCTTTTCTACTAGATAAACTAGAATATTAAAGATAGAAAAAAATTACAATCTTTGCTACTAGTTACACTCAAAAATTAAAATAAAAAAAACCATTTTCTTAAACATGACGAATGGGTACAAAGGAGGTGGAAGTTTCAATATATTGGATTTCAATGACTGGTTATATCTGTGCGTATTGTCTAGAGGAAGTTTCACAGCAGAAAATGACAATTATCTTAACCTAATGGGATGGAATGGAGTTAGTAAATAAATCATTTATTATACGAACCCGTGTTGCATTTACATTATATGATGAATTCCTAGGTGTGCCAGTGTCAGTGTGACACGAATGCCCCAGTTGAAACTCAAGTTTTTAAAAATATCTAAAAGTCCAACACCAAGAATGTGACAATATCATTGGGTGGAAATAAAACAGATAAAGAATATGATATCTGCTTTTGTTATCTAAATGACTTGTCAATACTACAACTTACTATCCACAAGCACATCCCCCCCCCCACCCCAAAAAAAAAAATCAAGCCAGCACAACTATGAATTTTCGAAAGTCAATTACCCTCGTGATAAATAGGATCAATTAACATGAAACTCAAATTGATTTGTAAATCATCAATATAATAAACAAAACCAAAATAAATTCAGTATCTACAAGATCAGAAAAAAGTCTGAAAACAGTGAATATTAGAAATTTTCAAAGTCTAACGGCAAAAATTTTAGTGAACATGGATCAACTGACAAGAAGTCCTAACTTATACCGTAAGTCATATACTTTGTCTTAATTCCCAAGTTTGCAGTTGGAGCAAAGCTCGCGCTAAGGTGCGTGCAACTGGGGGACGTTGTGTTTATGTTACAGACTGTGATCGATCATTATTTTTTACCCCCTAGTTTTCAGCCCTTTAAATTTAATTATTTTGCCTTTTTGAAAAAAAAGTACGATATATAGTTCATAGAAATAATTTATTATCTACTAGATATGTCGATTAATAATTGTAACGAATTCTGGGCACTGTATTCATTCTTAAATGTTTCAGACGTCTATGAATTTCTCCTGTATGTAAACTATTTCTACAGAAATGGACAGACTGCCGCTTGAGTTGGAACATTTCTCAGTATAACAATTCCAATCTGGTGGTTCCCTATGAGACAGTGTGGACCCCCGACATTACACTCTACGACAGGTATCTTATTTACAACTGTTCAGTCTGAATTATCTTGAGAATTACAATCTCCAATAACACACATCAAGTAGTTGATTACAATGTAATTTGAAGAAAATGATGAACCAGCATAGAGAGGTCAGAACCCGCGCCAAACGTGTTCTCTCTAGACTTTTTGTGCAATTCCGGGACGCCTCTACACTTTACATAGTTAGAAATCATCACTTGTTACTTTCAGTTTCAGTGCTAGGTATCGAGGTTGTTTTGGTTTACTGCATGTTTTAATCGGCAGACGGTAGAAGGGAGTTATTCAATCATTTTTGAAACCTGATCTTACCCGACACCGGTAGGAAAAGTGTAGATATTGAATAAAATCAAGTGTAAACCGAGGCACCCTGGGATCCAAGATGGCAATTGCGAACCTTGTGTCTTTTTATATGCAGAAATACGATATCTTTAAGAAAAATGCTTATTTCAGCCATTTTTTATTTTTATTTCAATGAATGTATTTAGACAAACATAGAAAAACACACAATTCACAAAATACACAATCCTGAAACTTAAGAGTCTATGCTGCATACCTACCTGTAATAATAAGGCAGGATGTGACACGTCATGGAACTGTTATTCACATAAAGTAAATCTGACAAGCAATCGAAATCACCAATAGACAAGATAGATTTATATAACAGATTTACATATATACATGTAATAGAGGATAAATATAAAGCTAGCAATAAAGGGACGCATTATAAATGATCTGTTACATAATTATGAAACAGCTCCAGTAAATGTGTAAACAAGATCATCCAATCTAAAAGACATACTTTTTGCATTTTGAAGGACACCAGCCAGATCTTAAACAAGAGATGGCAAACCTAAGAAAGGTCATTTAAAGGTTGAGTCCCTTATCAGACTAAGATATTTTTTTTTTCAAATTAAATTTCATACAAATTTAAATTGAAAATTATGCTAAATTTGGTAGAGGACACTTGAATGTATGGAAAATAAGTATAAAGATCACTTTAATTGACGTACCGGGCATATGTAAAAGATTTCTGAAAACCAATACTGCATTAGTGGGCTGAGAAGGTGAACATTATAATGTAGATAAATACTTGATCTTTGTAGGTATTTCCCCCATCGAAAGAAAATTTAAGTCACATTGATTCTATATCATGAATAAATCATACACAATCAATACTAATCATTGTCCAAAAGGTCATTATGAACTGAAAACATTTGCTTGCGATGGCATTAACAACCCGTTTCCTGACATGACAATTCCAAGTTGAAACATTAATTTTATAAATGAAATGCGTTGAACCATGTCCCAGAATAAGAGATGTATTTACACTGACGTTCATCCATTCTAAAAGCTTGAATTTTCTCAAACTTAACCTTGGATACAATGTTACATATGTTAGTTGTATTACATGTACCAACCCAGAGAAAATATCTACTGTATGTGACCAGCACCTGGGCAATAAAACCACATTCCGAAAGTGCGATATTGAGAAAGAAAGTCGAAGACGCGAGGGATCAATCTAGAAATATCTGTAAAACAAGTGATATGACACAAGAACATGATTCTGCAAGATTGAAAAAAAAAATCCACTACCCTGAAAAATATGAGGCACACTGATGATTATTTTTCTTTACTACTCTCTAACCATGTCACGGTGTTTGATTATAAGTTATCATGGCTAACAGCTGTGATGACCCATCTTTATTGATTACAAGAAGAATTGTAGTGTCTACAAAATACTAAAGAGCAAGGAAAGCAATTTGAGGGTTCCGTTTTGCATCATGTTAATGTCAGTTTATATAAAAGACTGTGCAAAGCATACAATTTGGGATACGTAAATAAATACCGATTATGGTATGATATCTCTGCGACCTGTCAACGTACATGTTGTATTCTACATAAGTATTTCTTCAAACTCAAAATGCTAAATACGTGTTGAGGACACCTACAGGTATTGTTGTATTTTTGAAGCTCGGCTGAGGAGGAGATGATGCCGGGTAGAACAGACTACCGAGCCACGATTTACCCCAGCGGCACGGTATATTATAACTTCCCCACCGTCCTACAGAGTGCCTGCCTCGTCAACGTTCTCTACTTCCCCATGGATACTCAGATCTGTTCCCTCAAGTTTGGGTCGTGGTCGCACAGTGGAGCGGAACTAGATCTCTACCCGAGCAAGGATCAGGGTAGGCCTATAAGCAAGTAACATAAATATTCATCGAATTTTCGGAGCTTATGGGAAATTGTTTGTTAATTTTTAAGTAAAATGTATGCTTCTATCACTAGAAGTTTTTCTAAAATGCCATAATGACTGGTAGGTAAATGTCTGTATGAGTGCTTCGTTGTCACTGGACACCTTACTGACTTGCTTAACACTTCAAAATTTCACTAAATGTTGCTTGCTTTAAGTGATGTACAACTATCTATTTCTATTCGGATATTAATTTGTATTTTGTAGAAAATTGTCTAGTAGTTAAATCATGCATTACTTAGTTTAAGGTCACATGAAAAACAAGGACTGTTCATTACTATTCATTTTCGTTTGTACATCGTCCCTTATCCATCATTCACAAACCTTTAAAATTATCGGTCTCTTATTCAGAACTACTCCACGTTCAATAAACTTGCCTCAAGGCTTACTTGGTAAGGATTCTGGAAAGGAATTGAGCCACAAAAGCAATTCAAAGAATGCATCAGAAATTTATATAACAGATGATGGGATTTAATCTATGAAAATCCTACTTTACTTCTCTCATGCAGTGTAATTAATATTTGTTTATATTTTGGCCATTAGGATTTGTTTGGTCCGAAAGTAAGTCTTGCGCTGAAAGACTGGGGCAAAAAAGATAGAGGATATATTTCAGAAAATAAAATACTCAGATAATAGTCTCTGAAATTAAAAGAATATAAGTTTAAATTAAGTAACTGCATGTTCGACCTCATCTTAATTTTATCTGTCTTCAATTCCACTGGCCGTTAAAACATTGATATAAGCCAAGAGATATGTTTCTCAAACATACTTGAAGAGCACATTTGTATTCTTTTTCTGTATTTTCACGCTGTTTATTTTCATTGAAATATTATTCAAAACGAATTATAGCATGACGTTGTGTTTCTGTAGAGTATAATACAGCTGTATGAATTTAATTTTCTCAAGCAACAACTTCACTCTAGGGTGGGAATTTTTCACCCAACCTTGCAAATGATCTATTTGGTATGTGTAAAGCTTTCAAAATCGCTGTATTACATTTAAAAAGTTATGTAGTATGAAGTACAACACTTTAATATGACCCTGTATAGTGTATAGATGTATGTTTACACACTTTTATGATCCTGTATAGTATTTAGGTATATTTACACACTTAGTTGACCAGTAGCGTGTAGAAATGTATGCTGTCGGTGTGTTATGTTACTGCTAAACTATCTTGAGCACTTAACTCATTCAAATTCTACAATCTTACTGCAAAACTTCACTCCCAATTTTCAATTTCGTAATTGTAAAAACACTTGATAAAGACAAATAGGCATTTTAGTAAAGTGTAAAATGTGACAATTATCTTTCTTTTTCATCAAGCAAGATGTATATCTCCATCTGATTTGTTCTTAACACTATTTTACTAATAATTTCAGCTGATTTAACAAACCTGGTTTTACACAACGAATGGGACGTTGTTTCAATGAATGCAAAAAGGACTGTCCTCTATTACCAATGTTGTCCGGAACCGTACCCTGATATTACATTTTTCTTGGAAATTAAACGGAAACCGTTGTTTTACATCATGAGCATCTTGTTTCCCTGTATTTTGACGAGTTCGGTGGCAGCCCTTGGATTCCTTCTCCCACCAGAGTCTGGAGAAAAAGTCTCCCTGGAAGTCACAGTGCTATTGTCCTTGGCTGTGTTCCTCCTGATGGTAACCGATCAACTTCCGGCCTCATCAATTAATTTTCCATACGTAGGTAAGATTTCTTTAACCCTACCTTTGGAGGAGGATGTTTTCAGCTGGTTATGTATTTGATTGCCTTTCTGTCTCGTTTCTTTCCGAACGATCTATGCGTCCTTTTTGACATATTTTATTATGACTGTTTTAAAGGTCAGGTTGCAGATTTACCTGACAAATTGAAATATCAGAAAGGACATATGAAAGAAATCGTAACAATTTTTAACTAAATTTTAGGAATACAGAATAATGAGAATTTAGGGCGGATTCGTCCACAAATGCAGGTTTTGGGAAGAAAATTACTTATTTTGCCTTTGCTTATTCTTTGAAATGTACTCGTATTTTAAACAGTCATTAGTAAGGTCTTAGAGGATTTTGTATCTTGTCTAAGAAAAAATAATGTCATAATTCGATTAAAATCTTATGAAAATAATCTAGTTTGCCTCACATATTACATTTTAACACATGAAGAACAATAATTCTACTTTGTATTTTTTGATTTCCAAGGGTGGCAAAAGAAAAGCACCCCTCTTTGCCCTAAACTTTCTTCATGTGATAATTATTGATTACTCTTTTTGTCCAAATTTCATTAGAGATCATTTAAGTCAAGTTGATGCTTTTAAACTCAAGTGGAAACTCTAGTATGTAAGGTTTGAGGAGCATAATTTTAAAAATAGTAACTCCTTCAAGTTTCATTGAAAGTTGCAAAACACCTTTTGCTCTCATTCAATTTTTTGTCAAATCAATAGAACGTAATCAGCAAAACTATTATTCCTCCCCTAGACCAATATATCTACATGTACACGTCTACTTCATCAACTGATTTTCCATTTGTTCTATATTCTTCCTTCACCTGGACCATTCTTTGGAGAACCCCTTACATTTGCACAAAATAATCAAATGGAAAACTGTCACAACCTCAGCGATTTTTGACATAAAATTCAGTTGATACTGTTGAAGTTACTTTGTTACGAACTAAAAATTTACTGAATATAGCTGCAGAATTAAATTAAAATAAAAATTTCAAGAGCTAAAATAAAAAAGTTAATAAAATAGTTAAAAAGTTTTCAATATTATAAGTATTTTATTTTCAGGGATGTATTTCGTGTCTTCAATGGTTCTCGTGTCGTTTTCATGTGCGATGACAGTGTTGGTTCTAAACATTCATTTCCGTGGAGCCACGGGTAATAAACTTCCGGACTGGATGAGGAAGCTTTTTCTCAGCAGATTGGCTTGGATTGTGTGCGTTAAGACCGGGAAAAGAGCAAATAAAGTACACTCAGAGAAAAGGGATCCCAAAAGTCTGGTAATTGAAATTGAAATTATGATTTTCATTTTAGCCAATAAATAATTTTTAAAATATTATGCTCTTTATTAAGATTAATTATCAAAGCGATAGTAAATTAATCCAGTTTTTTGAACAATTAGAAACATGGGAAATTGTGCATGTATTGTATCAAGAAATTCCATATACATTGCTTTTTTATTTATATGAACAAAAAATGTTGGTTTAACAAAGCAATTCTTAAGGAATTGATCAAAACTTTCTGTGATGAATGTTTTATGTTTCTATTTTTGTTTTCAGGAGGAGCCAAACCAGAATGAATACACTAATAAGTCATTTAAATTAGAAAGTGACGATTCAACGAAAATTCCTACCTCAAATGGAAACATTGGTCAGCCTCGACTACCAAGTATTGTGACGAACACTTCATCACGTGACCTTCTTCTTAGAACAGGTGACCCAATGTTGACAATACTCTCGGAGCAATCAGATACTTTGAAAAAAATAGAGGGTCACATGCAAAAAGACGAATCTGAAGAACAAACAAACAATGAATGGTATTTGTTTGCCAAAGTTCTCGACAGAATCTGTTTGATTTTATATATATTTCTTACTATTTTAACATCCATAATTTTCTTAGCAAAAATGGCGGGATCTTAAGTAACTTATCAACCAAATAAATAATGTCTGTATTTATTGACTTGAATGTGTGTGATATTCAGTTTACTCATTTTTAAGTATTTCTTATATTTTGTTGTTGTTGTTTTATTCTTTGAGTAAGTTTTCCATTTATACATATTTCAACAATCCTATATTTATGCTTCACGTGACAAATACACCTTTGGAATCGGAGATGAATGAATAAGTTACACATATAAGGTATTCCATTCCCTGGCATGCAGTGTGTGCAATTAACGTGATTGTCTTTGTTATATATGCACCTCCCCTGGTTGGTTCTCAAATCTCGAGAACAAGGCAGGTTTTTAAAAAAAAATTATTTACGTTGTGTCATTGTGGATTTTGATGTTTTCACTCAAAAATGTAATAATTATCCTTAGATGTAGCTTGATGAACGGCGTAAAAAAGTTTTTGAAAAATTCATGTTGTAGGTTCACAATATTTCTCATTGACCAAATTTATAACGTTGATTTCACTAAAAGACTGAGAGGATTTGTCAAAAATTGTCTTTCGCTTTAAATGGAAAGAGAGAGAGAGAGAATGTGTTTATGTGTGTTCACATATATTGTCATTTAACCTGTTGAAGTATTTAATGTTAAGTTATTTAAATGAAAATTAACATTTTCATTAAGATTTTTTTTTTGTATTTCATGTTTTATACATTAAAAAATTGAGACCATTTTGTTTGTTATTTGTACCTCAGCAAAATTATTAGGGTAAATAACTCTTGCATCCAGGTTCGGTAAAAGGACTCTGTCCCAATTGAAAATTGACTCTTATTTCCCCAAACTTCAGGTAAAAATTCCCAAATGAAAAGGAAATTGATTTTTTTTCAGTGCTTTTTATATAAAAAAAAAATTTTAAGGTTATAATGATTCATTAATATGCGAATAGAAAACAAGCATTCAATTTAACTCTTTATTCTACAGTAAAACTTAATATAAGACATCAAATGAATAAGACATGATATTTCCAAATTTTGTCACTTTTTCCGATTTAAAATTCTTAATTGAAAGGGTACAGGACCCTGTAACAAAAAGGATCAATTAATGTTCGTCTTAATATCAGATGGAAAATTACTGGTTGTTAATGTCCAATCAAAACCATATAAAATGTACACCTGTTATTTTCAAAAATAATAGTCCCGGTAAATGGACAATTTTAATTGTGTATGTGATCTTAAGATTTGTGAGAAATTTTTATTTATTGGTATTTATTTACATCCACTGGATATTTTCTTATTTATTTCTTATGAAACTTATAACTGCTGTTGCATTTAACAACAACAATTAACCTCTAAACTGCTTAAATTCGATCTTTGGCTTTTGCATATTTTGAGATAATATGACATAATCTTCAAGAACAGGAAGCATTGAATATTTCAGTTGCAGAAACGTATGCTTAAAACTGTTTTTGGAGTTTTAGGCCAAAAATTATCACCGTTCTTTATTTTTCAATTGCAAAAATCCTGTTTTGTGGGCGAGGTGTACATGGAGGTACATGTACTACCATTACTGTACATGTACAGAGAGGAAACTCAGCCAAGAACTGCTGTCAGAGGTGACCACTCTTACTGCACGTGTACAGAGAGAAAACTCAGCCCAGACCTGCTGTCTGAGGTGACCACTTTTACTGCACGTGTACAGAGAGAAAACTCAGCCAAGAACTGCTGTCTGAGGTGACCACTTTTACTGCACGTGTACAGAGAGGAAACTCTGCCCAGACCTGCTGTCAGAGGTGACCACTTTTACTGCACGTGTACAGAGAGGAAACTCTGCTCAGACCTGCTGTCGGAGGTGACCACTTTTACTGCACGTGTACAGAGAGAAAACTCAGCCAAGAACTGCTGTCTGGGGTGACAACTTTTACTGCACGTGTACAGAGAGGAAACTCTGCCCAGTCCTGCTGTCAGAGGTGACCACTTTTACTGCACGTGTACAGAGAGGAAACTCTGCCCAGACCTGCTCTCTGAGGTGACCACTTTTACTGCACGTGTACAGAGAGAAAACTCAGCCAAGAACTGCTGTCAGAGGTGACCACTCTTACTGCACGTGTACAGAGAAGAAACTCTGCCCAGACCTGCTGTCTGAGGTGACCACTTTTACTGCACGTGTACAGAGAGAAAACTCAGCCAAGAACTGCTGTCTGAGGTGACCACTTTTACTGCACGTGTACAGAGAGGAAACTCTGCCCAGACCTGCTCTCTGAGGTGACCACTTTTACTGCACGTGTACAGAGAGAAAACTCAGCCAAGAACTGCTGTCTGAGGTGACCACTTTTACTGCACGTGTACAGAGAGGAAACTCTGCCCAGACCTGCTGTCAGAGGTGACCACTCTTACTGCACGTGTACAGAGAAGAAACTCAGCCAAAAACTGCTGTCTGAGGTGACCACTTTTACTGCACGTATACAGAGAGAAAACTCAGTCAAGAACTGCTGTCAGAGGTGACCACTCTTACTGCACGTGTACAGCGAGGAAACTCTGCTCAGACCTGCTGTCGGAGGTGACCACTTTTACTGCACGTGTACAGAGAGGAAACTCAGCCAAGAAGTGCTGTCGGAGGTGACTACTTTTAGGCCAAATCAATTATTAATCAGTTCATTGTCTTGCTTTTTGGATGCAAGACAGTCCAAGACATTATTATAATTGGATTCTTGTGCAAATTAAGATTTCAACTATTTATCAATTATTCAAGTTTAGTTCGACTTAAATTATTTATTCGAAATCCATTAAAACAACTGCCATGTCTTTTTTATTCCTATACATTGCTACTAAATTTTCTCGTAATAACGAGAAAACTATCTCTTAATATAGAGATAACCAACTTGTTATAACGAGATACTAACTCGTTATAACGAAATATTAACTCGTTATAAAGAGATATAAAATCGTTATAACGAGATAACTTACTCATTATAATAGGATACTATCTCGTTATAAACAGTTATGAACTCGTTATAACGAGATAATTAACTCGTTATAGCGAGAAAATAACTTTGATAACGAGATAGCTATCTCGTTATAACGCAGTTTATGGTCAGACGACACGCTCCTCAATAATATGTAATTTTTCTCAAGGATTTTTTATAAAATTATTATTACTTGAACAAGTTTACTCTCCAAAAAATGAGGTACCTTACCAGACATTTGTGCAAGATACAAGAGGATGGCGTTTCCTATATAATCTTATTAGAAATCACTTCAAATGCTCATGTCATATATGTGGAGTTTTTCTTTTTTAAGACATTTTGAAAACGTTGTAGAAATCACAAGATGATGATAATTATTAATATTTTTTTAAAAATATTTACACGAAGAATTATAAAATATTCAATAAACGTGCCGTCTGACCTTTAAAAGTTTCTTTTGCTGTAGTGAATTATCCTTCAGAAAGAATAATTTCTCTATTGAACGGAGAAATTAAAGAGCTGTCAAATTTTAATCTTACTCGTACGTTTTTTTTTGTTTTTTTTTTTGTTTTGTTTTGTTTTTTTTTTTGTGAAAAAGCTCACAGATACATTGTTGGCTCTGGTCCGTTGCAACCATTGTTTACAAGGCGATTTTTTATGCTGTCTTTTGTGAGGTTACCATCCTGACCCTCCTGTGAAAACGGCATCAAATCCAGTGAATATGTAGTGCTATGTAGCGTTTGTATACATCACATAAGGACTATAAATAGACTATATAATAATACAATATACTGTTCCTAAACTGAGATTCACACAAACAACATCCTGAAGTCATCTGCACTCTTTCATTTGGTCATCATGTTTCATGATTATACATGGCAACAGGCGTTCGGCAAAGGTCAATATATATATATATATATATATATATATATATATATATATATATATATATATATATATATATATATATATATATATATATATTAGGGATGGCAACGAATATTCGAACATTCAAATATTCATTCGATGAGTTGATATTCGAATATGAATTTTAGATTCGAATATTCGGTGTTTTTCAGATTTCATAAAAAGAAGTACTGTGATTAATAAATTTTGATTAGAACAGTGCTGGAATTATCCCTGTTTAATTTACTAGCGATCAATTTCGATTGCCTGATTTCTTTCACTACATTCTTATCTTATAAATCTACTGAAATAAAATTACAGGTATTTTGTTTTGAGTGAGGAATTGTACAATAATGCTTTATGTATAATACAAATCGTATTTTCATAGTTTTTATTTGTTAGATACGATCGGATCTAGAATCGAGGACAACAAATGGAATCTAAGAATGTCTGAAAGGCGTGAGGTGTATACTTATCAAAATAAAATTAATTGATCATTGAATGAATGTCCGATAGAATTATTCTGTAATTAATATTGTAAAGGGCTTAATTTCAGAATAAATGTGTAAATTACTTGATTATCTTGGGTTGTACATAATCCTGAATTTAATATTCATTATCGGGAAATTAGTTAATTACCTAGGAAAATTGTCTATGGAAATATTTGTTTACATTGTATCAAAGATTATAATCATATCTCTTATTAGGCAGATAACTGTAATTTATTACACGTATTGAAATCTGAACAGTATACCGTTACGACTATCTCTTGCCTTTTGTAAGACGACTGGTTCCTCAGTTGGAGCTACTAAATATATACATGTTTCATTTGTTAAAATTATATTTTTCTACATTTAAATCAATTATTTATTTCAAACATTGACAAATATCAAAAGGATTTTCTTATTGTACACCTACAAAAGTTTTCATACAATTTTACGTCCAATATAAGTATACCTACGCTAAACCTTTCATGAGAGTACGATGATGCATATTTACAGATTTTATTTATTTTATCGAATATTCGAATATATTCGAATACTTTCGTTGAATATTCGAATATGAATTATTGACAAAATTGACATCCCTAATATATATATATATATATATATATATATATATATATATATATATATATTATTTATTTTCATAATAAATATACAAACATCTTTCACTCACCCTTTCATCTACATATATATATATATATATATATATATATATATATATATATATATATATATATATATATATATATATATATATATATATATATATATATATATATCTGTGTGTGTGTGTTTGTGTCAGTCCTCATCGCTTCCACAAACTTCGAAAATTTTTACTCAGAATGTTCTACACATTCATGATAAGCTTTGAAAAATAATTAATCAAACTTAATATATATCAGTTAGGAAATTTAAACAGTCTTAATACGGATATATTAACTTTGTTCATGTTTCAAAAGATGGAATGTGTTGAAATGCACGCAGACATTTATAAATTATACTCAACGTCCATAACAATGACTACAATTACAACTTTTAAAGAGTATTGGTTTAATAAACTTGGAATTACCCACTAGTCATCAGAGAGAGAAACAAAACGGTGGGTGTAATTGAAAATGCGATAAATATGATTAAAAACAATCTGTCCATAATAATAGCGACCTCTTGCCATTCATTGATGTCATTTACATTCTGTTGAATGTCATATGATAGATCTTCACCTGTCCTGTCAGCAGGATTTCCTATGTGTCGTACATCTACCTCTGTTTGCAATTCTCTTGTGGTGTTTTTCAAGTAGATTTCAGAATCGCACAATATTTTACATTCGTTGCCTGTATATTCATTCTATTAAAAAGAGACATTTAAATTACAAACACAGTATTATCCGTTATCTTCTAATTAAATATAATGATCTAAAAAAATATCAAACAAATTCCTACCTTGTTTTTGTCACCATACTTATTGTTACCGTATTTCTTACGTAAAGTTTTTCTTATTGGACTTCGACATAAACATCCAAGGTGGTGAATAAAAATCCACCTCATCCAAGGAGAAACCCGATTCCCAAAAGTTTTTCTGAAGTGTACGTTTAGTACTACAACAGTCATTAAAAGTGACAGAGCTACCAGACTCATCAGAGAAGCCATGTACATTCCTGAAAAAAAGTCAAATATCAAATTTTGTTCACAAAATATAACTAATATAGAATCATTAAATCGTGTTTCCATTTTATAAATCTGCCTACAAGGTGAAATGAAGATTTTACATTTTTGTTTGCCTATGATTTTATTTGTTCTGTACCTTTTTTGTTTGTCTTTTTACCCGTCCTGTATTTTTATGTTTGTCTGTATGTTTATCTGTCATATATTATCTTTTTTGACTGTATGTCTATCTGTCTTATAAATGTTATGTTTGTCTGTATGTTTATCTGTCTTGTAAATGTTATGTTTGTCTGTATGTTTATCTGTCATATATTATCTTTTTTGACTGTATGTCTATCTGTCTTATAAATGTTATGTTTGTCTGTATGTTTATCTTTCCTTTACATTTTTTGTTTGTCTGTACGTTTATCTATTTGTCTGTGCTGTAAGTTTTATGTTTGTATGTTTATCTGTTCTGTAGATTTTATGGCTGTTTTGAAGGGTGTCATTGAGAGGAAAGGAGAGAAGAAATTGTGTAATGGAAATTGTTAGAATAGAGTTTAAAAAAAATGGATTTTTTTCATCAGAATGCAAAGAAATAGATCACATCAAAAATGAATTATTTGACATAGAATTCAAAAAAATTAAATGTTTGTAATTTTCTGTTTCTTACCTACATACGGAAAATGTTCAGAGGATGCAGGAAGTTGGTCGGTTACCATGAGAAGAAAAACTGCCAAAGACAACAGGACTGTCACATTTAAAGAAATCTTCTCACCAGATTCTGGTGGCAAAAGGAACCCAAGGGTGGCAATAGATGACGTCAGCATACAGGGGAATAGGACAGATACAATGTAAAAGAATGGCTTGCGACGGATCTTTAAGTAGAACGTCACATCCGGGAAAGGCTCCGGGCAGCATTTGTAAAACACCGTATTTCTTTTGACGTGAGCTGATGTCACTTCCCATTCGTTATGGGTAATGTAGTATTCCATGTCCACTGTTTAGAAAGGAAATAATTTTCAAGAGTCAAGAAAGATACCGGTTGTAGAGTAGGATTCCCCCCCCCCCTAGTCAGCCCCCCCCCCTCCGAAATCTGTACTATAGAGTAGGATTTCCCCCCGAGGGGAAATATCACAATAGAGCCAAATTTCCCCCTCGTTCTTTCTCAGAGTAGGACACCCCCCCCCCTCCCCCGTATCAATGCTTAAATTATATCCACAAAATTCTGGCTAAAAGTTTATATGAAAGTCAACTGATTTTTTAATGGAAAATGAGTGCTTTCGATTAAAAAATTGTCAAATGTAGTATTAAATCTTAAAATATTTAGTTTAAATTATTAAGTCTGAACCCAAAATTTGAACTCATAGAAAATTTGTAAAATTAGTCACATAAAAAAATTCCAAAGACTCAATGTCTCAACAACTCTCTCTTTTTCTTTTTCCCTGTTTGTTCAGGAATTTTAAAATGTATATCAGGCCATCTTTGGCCCTCTAAAGGCCTTGAATATTTTATTTATGCATCCATCCTTTTTTGCAAAGAATGTGTGAGAAAATTTTAAAATTTATGTTATTGGTAAGTTCCACATACCATTTTGTGAGTTTTTAAATGGTGCGCTTCTTCAAAGAAAAAAAGCCAAGACTAAAAAAAATTAATTATATAAGAAATACTGCTTTTGCAAGCCGAAACATAGGTATGTCCTCTTGACCCCTGTAGCGTAATATTGAATTTGAAAGCAGAGAGCAAATACTCTGTTATATTTTGCAAAATTTCATTTTTTTTTAAAGAAATAAATAATCAATATTTAGTTTCGTGGCAACGGCAATTATTTTGAATATATTCAAATCCAAGAAACTTGGAGATACACTCACATATCAGTATTATGTATACATGTATTATGAAATACAATTGGAGAAAAAAAATCCATTTCAAATAAAATTCCATGAATAGAGTAAAAATTTGTCAAATCGATTACAATACCCTTTTTTTTAAAAGCCAGTTTGAAGAGATGAAAAGGAAATTTTAATGCTTCAAAAGATTTGATGGTCAGTTACGGAGACAAAGGGAAATTCAAATTTTTCAATTTTCATAATAATTCATATTTTCAATGTAACTGGGTGCCGTTTTGAAGAAGGGACACTTGTGACAAATGTCGCCCCCTTTCTCCCATGTATACGAAAAGCCACAATATTTTATTGGGGGGAAATTTGGCTCTGGGGAAATCGCACTCTAATACTATTAAACATAGTAGGACATCCCCCCGGACAATTGACTCTGATATAGGATTAGGGGAATCCTACTCTAGAGTCATTTTTTTTCCGTGGGGGAAATCCTGATCTAGAGCTAATTTTCCAGGGGGATCTCCTACTCTAGAGCCAGTTTTCCGAGGGGAAACATTTTACGGGGGAAAGCATACTCTACAAGACCTGTACCGGTATTCCTGTATAATATGCTTGTAGCATACATAAAAATGTTAAATATGTTAATGTTTTCATTCAAATAGAGGAACATTCATTCAAAGACGATGGGCGAACAAGGCGACCGAAGTGCCTATAGTGCAACAAACATGAAGGTGAAAAATTAAATCTCAAATATAACAAAATTTTCTTTGATATTTCATCTATCATTAAAGTATACTTTATGTAAAATCTCCACAATTTGCAAAAAATATCACAAAGATAGAAATTAGTTGCCTATAAAATAGCATACACACACTAAAGAGAGCAAAAAGGGCCATTTTCTCATACTTTAACACGATTTTTCGATATGAGTGGGTCTTCGCTCCATTTATTTTAAAGTTTGTCCTCAAAGTTTGCGTAAAAATATACATTTTTTTTGTTAACAAAAAAAATGGAGCAAAGACCCACTATACCGTAAAAATACACTTTTATGACACAATATTTGCATCTTACCGAAAAATACTTAAGTCCCTTTAGTCAAGGGCCATATCACAAACATGATTTAAATGCCATTATTCATCAGGAGCTGTGTGGCGTAATGGTTAGTGCGCTAGTGTCAAAGGAAAATGATACTCAGGCTTTTTATTGCTAGAGTTCGAACCCCACGACTACCACATCATTTATTTTTATTTAATAGAATAACTTTTGTCTAGAAAATTTTCCCCAGAAAAGTTTTTTTAAATTATAATTTCATAAATTTTAATAATGAGAAGTTTACTCTAAATACTAAATTCACAAATTGAATATGATTTGTATATATCTGGAGCTATAGGCATTCTGCACGCCTTGTTCACCCATCTCCTTTACTAACAATTTTGTCAAAACTTTTACTTCACTTCTATTTTATTTTGTTTCCCTTTACCTGATTGTGTCTTTGGATAAAAGTCGAGATCCACACCTGAATATGACCAAGAGGCAAACTTGAGTGGACAAACTTGGGTGTCAATGGGAAAGTATCTAACATTAATCCGACAAACACTGTCCAATATAGTAGAGAATAAGTAGTTGACAGAGCCGTTGTGGTGAACTATCGGCCTGTACTCCTTATGACCAGGCATCATTTCCTCTGAGGCACTATAACGAAGACACATGTTATTACAAGTGGGGGATTCCATGGCAGTGTACAGTTGTCACCAACCGCTACATTTACATTCAGCTTGGTACTATGTTACTTTTTCTGCTCCAATCACAATGACGTTAATAATATATAAAAATGTAATTACTTTCTCTATTTGAACTAGAAAATTAAAACGTTTTTGTTATACATGGCCCTAGAGTTTCCTTACAAAATAATCTTTTTTTTCTGCCTTTGAGTAATTAAACTTGTACACTATTGGTGAATAAGATAAAAAATATTTTTAGTTTGTATTGCATAAAAATGAGTGCATGGGCATATAAACAAATATAAACTTTTGGCTTTTTAATGAAGAAATTACTGATTTGTGGGTATCTTATCACTGCTCACGTATGTAGTGATAACAGGGTTTTAAAGAGTTAGGTTTACTTTATGCATAAAATATGGAGATAACGAACGATAATCGAGCTCAAAGGTCCTTTGAAACAATACAAATCGGGAGCAGAGCAAACACGGAACTCTAAAAACATCAGGGGTGGGATCAAGTACCATGGAGGATTCCTTGACCGGTCACACCCGCCTTGTGCTAATTGGCATGATCGGGCAAACGGAAAAATCCGTAGAAAATTCAGTGTAAATAATGGCCTAACAATTGTAAGAAAAACTTCAGTCACCATTCGACTTAATGATAGATTGTATTTGCTGACTAGATCATTATATCGACCATAGAATTTTGCGAAATGTTGACTTCAACCAAAACTGTTGATATCCTTGTTTCATCAACATGTCAGACTCTATGACCCTGATTAGGGACCAATTCAAGAATTATTTATGTCCAATTTTAAACATTAAGATAAAGCAGGCTACATGCTTCATATCATATTAACAAGAGGCTAATGGGCCACAACGCTCACCTGAGTAGCTATGGCCCTTCTGTTCTTTATCAGATTTTTTCCCTATGTAAAACTCAGATAATATATTGTGGCCCCGCCCTACCCCGAGCTCCCCTACCCTTAGGTTTCATGATTTGAGCAATCTTGAATCTGAAGATGTTTTTACATATATGATTAATCATGGTTTTGCTGTTCTGAAGAAGACTTTAAAAGATTTTTCCTATATTCTTAAGTAAAACTTAGATTGACCATTGTGGCCCAATCCTACCCTAGGGGTCATGATTTGAACAAAATTAGAATCTACACTACCTGAAAATGCTTCAGTATAAATATAACTGACGAATGCTTCGCCGTTCTTGAGAAGAATAATTTTGAAGATTTTTCTTATGTATAACTATGAAAAACTTTGATTGCCCATAGTGGCCCCACCCCACCCTACCCCATGGGTTATGATTTGAACAAACTTGAACATACACTCCTAAAGTATACTTCCATCTAGATATGACTAATCATGGCCTTGCTGTTCTTGAGAAGAATTAAATTTTTTTCTATGCATTCCAATGTAAAACTATAATTGCCAATAGTGGCCCCCTACCACGGGGGGCAATGATTTGGTCAAAATTGAATCTACACTACCTGAGAATGCTTCCTTATAAATATGACTAATCATGACTTTGCTGTTCTTTAAAAGAAAATTTCAAAGATTTTCCCTAGTAAGCATTCCTTTGTAAAACTTTGAAACCCAGAGTGGCCCCACCCTATCCCTGGGGGTCACGATTTGAACAAACTTGAATCTACAATATCCCAGAAAGCTTTCATATAAATTTCATCTTTTCTGGCCTAGTGGTTCTTGAGAAGAAGAATTTTAAATTATCCCACTTATTTTTCACTATTTATTAATTATTTCCCCTTGGAAGAGGGTGTGTCCCTTCATTTGAACAAACTGGAATCCCCTTTACCCAGGGATACTTTGTGCCAAAGTTAGTTGAAATTGACCCAGTGGTTCTGGAGAAAAAGATGAAAATGTGAAAAGTTTACGACAACGACGACGACAGACAATGGACAAATTTCGATCAGAAAAGCTCACTTCAGCCTCGGCTCAGGTGAGCTAATAAGTTCCTTCCCAAAGTCCGCTTGGAGAAATGACTTTGCAAATGTGCAATATTCTTCAGATTTCATCTATAATCGAATAATTCACCGATAAATATAGTTAAGACCTGCTGATATAATTTTGATTTGAAATAATTGTTAAATGAAAACATTCTGAAAATTTTAAAAATATTCAGAAAAAATTGTGATAATAAATGCAGTGAAATGAACAAGTACATGTGCTAGAATTTGAATCTGTACATGAGGTTACCTGTCAAACAGTGTAATATCTGGTGTCCAGACATTTGAATATGGTAGAATTATCTGTGTAATATTTCCATACTCCTTAATATCCCAACTGAGAAAAGGGTCATTCCACCACTGCAAGGAAATAATATCATTTTTCAAATTCAGAGTATTGTTACCCATCAAAAGAAAAGACGGCTCATTGTCAATTTACACTCACCAAACGCATCCAAATATTCAGTGTGATAACTTGATTTTTTTCATCCTAGAAAAATATAATCTTATGAGAGTTAAGATTCAGTCGCATGTAACACTGGACTTTGGTCATTAGAGGAGCAGCAATTATTCATAAAATAAAAACATAAGTAAAATTTATTGAAATAGTGAGCGATCAGCTATGAAAAATTGAAACCTAATGTTATGTCATTGTTGGATATATTTAAATAAATGCTATAAATTGAATCATCTTTAAAAAACGTGTTGATTACTAATTTAATTTCTTCATAACCCAACTTGTCTTTAAGAAATGTGAATGAAACGAACAGTAATGTAAGTTACTTTATCAGATTTTTTAATGTTATTGTAATGAATAAAATAGAATACTGCTATGTACCAGCTTCATCAGTTGTCTAAGAGCAATGTTCACCGCAATGGAGACATTCTCCTTGGGCGTTGTTACAGGAAGAACGCGTGGATCATAATTTTTCAGTAGATCGTTTACCAACTTTAAAGAAAATGCTGTCCTGTTTCTGGCAATAATTTCTGTAGAAATTAAATCAAACGGAAAAGATTAAAGTATATTATAAAGTATATTATTTAATTGTTAATCATTCATTGCAATTGCTCATTGCAGCTTACCATGTATATTTGGATTTCAAGTTAAAATGCAAGAGATAATGATTTCATATTTAAGAAAATTTCCGAAATTGCTTTAAAATACTATTGAGTTTTTCAGCTAACACTGCTGTAAAAAAAATTACTAATTATGAAAACAAGAAACTGGAACAAGTGTAATTAGACACTAGTTTAAAATCAGTACATAAAATCAGTACAGTGATATCAATATGAAATTAGAGTTCACTTATAAAATAATCAGACCTAACTACAACAACAATTCGGGTCGAGGTTACTTGTTGAAATAAAAGGCCATTAACGATGGAAGAACTCTACAAGTTTATTTTGAACATGTGTTTTCTGTAAATTCAGGTCTAGCAACGATATTAAAAGGGGCAACCTAAAAAAGGGGGGGGGCTTGTCCAAGGGGGAGGGGTTCACCTTTCTTTACTTTTTGGTACATTTTTTTCGAATACTGGAATTTGTCAGTGCTCGACATTTACAGCAATAAAATATGGGAGAGCCAACCAGCAGCTAAATGAAAATTTATATATTATAATCACAGCAAAAAGAATATACTCGGAAAAAAATTCTTAATACAATAGGCAAACAAGCGCTGAATTAAGTTTTTTTTTATTTCATAAAATATCAAACTTTCATTCACTGTACAATGAGTTTTAGCGTGTCTGTATAATATGAGCAGAGAACCAAACCACGGTCAAAATGTACGATCCTCTCCCATTCTGGAGAAAGAGCTATATGCGGTCTCCGGACCGTGGCTTGAGACGATGAGGATCAAAGGATGTTTTTAACGATCATTTAGCCCTGCCAATAAATTAAAAAATGAAATGATTTGGGATGCGAAACTAATGATGTTTACTGAATATCTATAGACTAAGGGGGTTTTCGTATCTCTGAATACCCGTTGTCTTAATCTTAAATATTTTCTTTTGAACCAAATTATGGACTAATGCCATGTTAATCTTATAACACGATAATTAATTAAATTTAACATAATGTTAGTCTATATTTTGGTTCAAAACAAAACATTGCAGAAGAGAACGGGGTTATTTATGTTATCTTAAGATTAATACAGATCTCAAAATTATTATAAGTTATGAGAGTTTTGTGAAACAGCTATGGTGCAATCTTGAAAAAAGTAGTTTTTTGGACTTAAGACAAATCTTAGTCATAAAATAGTTTAGTGAAACGGACACCCTGATTATCAAGTGATATTCAAGGATTCTTCTGGTCTCGTGCCTCAGATTTCCATAAATATAACTTTTTTAATTCATGTGTATTGCGAATGCACAGTTAAAGGTCATAGGAAACGATTCTTAACATTAGGATTTCACTTTTTAAGCCCAAAGCTATATGTGAAAGAATGTTAAATTACGAGTAGTAATATTTTTTGGCCTTTGTTCTACTGAAAAATAAAGGTGAAAACTTTTCAACTTGTTACTTTTCTTACCCGCTTATCGTTCTTGATTTTGTGGTTTTATGACGTCACAAGAGCCCACTGATGTAAACAGAGCATTAGACTAATGTATTTCTACCATATTTTTATCTAGTTAATTTAAGTTATTTTTGTTAATATAAATGTGTCTATGTTTTCAGTGAGTTATCTGATTTCGTAGTTTAGTCAGTTTGAACGAGTCGTTAATAAGGCACGGCGACTCAAAACGGGGGCTTTTTATCGGAGGATGATCCTGATGGATATCCTATATAAAATTACGCTTAAATTAAGCTACAACTTCGATTACTTACTCTGCATCAAACCTTTAGAAACAAAAAAAAAAAATATTTCCCTGTTTAATACACATATACGACATTCCTGTGGGACGTGAAGACCGGTCCTTGGGATGAGACCGTATAAACCGAGGTCCCGCGTCGCAGTAGGTGCTGGCACGAAAAAGATCCCTCACTGCTCAATGGCCGTAAGTGCCGAGTATAGGACAAAATTTGCAGCTCTCCACCGGCAAGTGGTGGCGTGCGTCTCCATATGAGTGAAAAATTCTCGAGAGGGACGTTAAACAACAAACAAACAAATATATACGACATTCCAAAAGGATTCCATCGTCATTAAAAAAAGTTAAGTCGTTTTTTATTCCAAGAAAAATCGCATAATGCAACATAAAATAGAATAGTTTATTAAAAGTGACCTTTTCTGATCTGAATAAAAATTTTGATTAAGCCTATAATATTCTGTTAAAGAAAGAATATGACACTTATATGGGAAATATCCCTAATGTGAATCCCGAAAATAAACACGGAGCCGGTGGTATTGAAGTCCATGATAAGCGTGAACCACTGAAAATGTCAGCGTCTTTGAAGTTTCGTTTTCCCCGATCCGAAACACACATATTGCTGTAAAAACGATATAGCAATAGAATCCCTGAGTTTATGACATGATCGTATTCTTCTATAAAAAATATATATATATATAAAGAAGAAATGTTGAGCCCAGAGCAAATGAGATTGTTACGATGCCGATACTTTGTGCAGACACGGTTTAACTCTACAATATCGAATTTTGAAATAATCAGTATGTATTAGTAAACAGTACAGTCCGTGATCAGTTTGAAAATCCATCCATCATTTGCGAGACTGCAATTTTAACATTAATGTTCTTTTTAACAGATGATAAAACTTTTGAAATTATATCCTTTACAAAAAAAAAAAAAAAAAAAAAAAAAAAAAAAAACATAAATATAACACACACTGGAAAGACAAACAGGTTTGTATATACGATGATAAGTACTGATCTATGATAATGAATTTGGTAGAATCCTTATTCTTCATAGAAATATTTCCACATGTTAGAGCTGCTTTTTTTTAAACGTCGTTTGTACTAACTCCCATATATACAAGTTTACGTATAGTTCTTGCCAGAGTTGTTTTTAACCCATCTGCAGTGTGTTTAAAAACGACACGATTATTTCAAGAACTTTCAATTACAAAAAGAAAGAAATAACAAGGGGGATGGGAGGGGGCGCCAGAGATCGGGTATTGGTGGTGATGTTGTACATGAGTAAGTGAATATTAAGACAGTGTCAAATGATAAGAATTGATTTAATTATATAAAACAGTAACACAAGAAATTTTTTTCTTGTTTTTTTTTAAGTCATGCGATAACGCAGCAGGTACGTATCGTTTGTCAAGAAAAGTGTCATACTGACAGTGTTGGACTCTCTGTGAAAGTAAAACTAGGTTGTAAATAAATGATTTCATAAAAACAACTGCCCTGGTTATGAAAAATGAATTCATTCTCACTCTCCCTTCTTTCTCTCTTCCGATTGCTTTATTTTTCTCTCAATACATCAAAGTGTCAAACGATGAAAATGATCACATTTTGATTGATAAAAACATGCAAACATCTTGCAAATATGCAATGGAATTTTTAAAAAGAAATACTTGCTTGTTTGAAGATCGTATATTTATACTAGGTTTTAGCCATGATTATGATATTCTTTAAAATTAAGCTGCAAAATGACATGATAGTTTGTAAACATTGCATAGCTTTGAACAGCGATTGGGCCTTACTGACGTCATATGCTAAGGGAGATAAGCAACGTTAGTCAAAGTGAATTTTCACGACTGAGTAATTTTGATCGACTGTGCTGTAGCTATGTTGCGTTAAAAATCCAAAAAACAATTTCAGTCTTATTTTACCAGCTCATATGAACTTATTCCCGTATGTAACTCAATATGTTCAGGTAATTGTCTCCTATGACCTTTAAGATATCGGTGATTTATATTTTGGGAGGAAATAAACATTTTGTAAAACTTTCAATTTACGGCATTTTTTTCAGGACTTTTAAGTCCGCTCATTCTTTATACATATAAGTTTTGTTAGAAGGCATCAATATGTACTGCAGTAAATACATGCATTAATTATAAAACATAATTTAATTATAAATTTGTCCATAGTGTTTTCGAAATTGTCATAAATAGAGAATGTTTTGATGATTTTCCCACTTTCTATGTGACCTTAAACATTACTATTCCAGAAGACCAAATACCTTTATGTTCAATATATTGTAATACAAACAATTAACAAAGAAATAAGTAATTTAGGAAATTTTTATATTTTGTTAACAAACTACGATCTGAATATTTGAAGCGAAAAAAATTTAGTAATATGACAGTTGATTCATATGTTTGTAATTGTATGTTTCTATATATTATGTATGTATGGTATAAATGCATTGTAAAGCCTATGAAATGTTTGTCCAACAAAATAAAGAACTGAACTGAACTGAGCTTTTATCACAATGGCTTGAGGTTAGTAAACGTTGCAAATGATTGGTCCAATAATTAATCAATTTACACTGCCCATTCAAAATGTCCCGTACAGCTCTCAGTGTTTTAGTGGAATCTTTGGTGTTCAGAGTAAAAGCATGCAATAAATAATATAACATATCCTCTGTGATAAGGAGCATAAAAGGATCTAGAATTATACTAACGACAAAGTCGCAAAAAAGTCTTAGATTCATGTATTCAGTGCATTTAGAGTACCGCTACAGTAAAGTTAGTTTTTGCTACATATTTAGGATAAGATCCTAACCTACCTCATGTCTTTATTTTTCATTACCAATTATAATAAAAATTTTAACATATTTTATTTTTATCAGCAATTAAAAGCGGACGTAGGTAGAATTTTTCACGGCAAGTGTCGTCGGTAGTTCAATGGCTTTGTTCTTGTCTTAAACGTTACATATACGTATCTTGCGCGATTCTACGATTTACCTCGTTGAAATATATATAGATACATTTCTTTTTCAAATTTATTGTTCAAGAATGTTAAATGTAACATTTAAGAATCAGTGGTACGTATTTAATTTGTGTATATTCAACCATTTTTGAAATTTTTGGAGATAATAGTTAATCACCGACCCAAAACACTACAACTCTTTAATTATATATTACTACAAATCGAATATTGAGAAGATATTATTTAAAAAATGAGTAATATTTTAACACAAATTTAAACACCAACACACCCATAGACAAGACCCATTACAATCCCAGCGAGAGAGAGAGGGGAGGTTGAAGAGGGAAAGAGCGACTGTGAATAAGGGGGTAATGGGTGAGAGAGAGTGGGTGAGTGAGAAAGAGAGGAAGGGTGAATGAGACAGGGAGCTAGAAAGGGTGAGAGAGTGAGAGAGAGGATGGTGAGAGAGATAGGATGAGTGGGGGAGACAGAAAAGGAGTGAGAGAGAGAGAGAGAGGAAGGGGGAGTGCGAGAGAGAGAGGAAAGGGAGAAGATGAATGAGAGGAAAGGGAAGAGAGTGAGAGGAAGGGGGAGTGCGAGAGAGAGAGAGAGAGAAAGGGGGAGGGTGAGAGGATGGATGAGAGAGGATGGGAGAGAGTGAGAGACAGTGGATGGGTGAGTGGGAGAAAGTGTGAGAGAGACAGAAAGGGTGAGTGAGAGGAAGAGAGGAGTGATTGAAAGAGTATCAGAGAGAAGAGAAGTGGTGTGAAAGAGTTTGAGAGCACGAGAGAGGAAGCATTTTTATTTCAATCACCAGGGAATTCAGAATTAAATAAAGGGTTAATGAATTTATAGAAAAACTTTTATTCCATCATAGAAAATGTGTTATGAGGTCAGGTATGATGGGTTATTGAACAGGTATGATGGGTTCATAATTGTTATAATATCATCTTAATTGAATTTGACAAAGACCCACCCCGACTTAAACACCCTGATTGATCCGCCTTTGCAATTGCATACAAAACAGTATGCAGTTTCAAAAGCTTATCTGAGGCACGGCAACATTAGATTTATAATCCCAAATATTTTTTTAGTTTTCACCTGGGAACGGCAATGAGCATTTATATATCGTTTTTGAGTGTGTCCATTATCAAGAGAATATCGTTTTTAGAGAAGCCAAACATCATCAAGATTGATTGTATATTGTTTTACGTCCCATTCGAGAATTTTTCACTCATGGGTGAATTCAAAAAAAATGACCACCAAACTGAATTTTTTTGGAAAAATTCAACTACTTCTAACATATTTTTCACTTATATCATCATATTGCACATGCATTCTAGTTTAAAATCCTGAAGTGGCAATAGAATAGACAATTTGATTAAAAAGTTTCAGAATTTTTATTAGTAAAATTTCTTTTGAAAAAAGAAAAGATCATTACACCTTAAAAGACTTTCTAAAATACATAATCACAAGAAATTATAGTTTTTTATGCTTCAAAATGGTAAAAGGGGTATAAATGATCAAATCTAGACCTTGATTGAGTATCTTCTCTTGTATGTGTGACAAAAAATTGGCTTTTTGATTGTTATTTTACATTATTTTTTCAATTCTGGTTTGAAAAGTTTTAATAAGAAAAAAATATGAAGCAATAAAATTCCCCAAATTTCACTTTTTTGTCCGTTCAAGTCATTTCTTTAAATCTAAGCCAAAAAAGAATTTTTATATACGAGTTCTCTTAAAAAAATACTAGATTTTGAAGTGACCCTATGTTACATTATTGTGTTGCACTCCTGACATCTGATATGTATTTTATTTAACATTGTTTTAAAAATTATAACACACAATAACCCATTCTTACTTTGTAAATTAATTTGTCATTTTGATATTTTTCATCGTTTACGGCAGGTTTTTCATATTTTGAAGACCTTAACACATGATTATTTGCAAAGTGTAATATACATAATTTGTATCTAAAACTATATGTGAAATGATGAAAACTATTCCCTGAATTGACAAGAAAATTTCTGTAATTTGTTGATAGACATAGTGTTTTGAACATCAAATAGTATCAAACATTTTTTTCAACTCATTTTTTTAGTAAAGATAATTAAAAAGCATTGGTAATTATAAAGCAGTTTTGTTGCACTCCAGACTGCAGTAAAATTTAAAATTAAAATCGTAGAACACAAAAATTCATAAAGTGTTGGCAACATGAAGTGGTAATGAAATTGTGCAATATTTATAGTCCAATACTTCATAATTAAAATGGATGAAAGTATTTGAAATTCATATTTTATCTGGAATTATTCTCTATTTATGCCAAAAAACTAGCTTAAATGTATATTTAGAAGATAAATATTTTATAGCATATTTTCCTTTAGAGGACAAACACAGTAACCCACTAGAAAAATTCTACTCATCATTTTTTCTTTATTTTTATTCTTATTGGATGATTTATAATTCCAACATATTTGTTGCACTCTTGACCAAAAGTATTGGGACCTTTAAAGTAGAATTGTGAAGTGAAAATCACATAGGAACTTGTTCTGTTGTTTCAGTGAAGTTGAGGAGGAATTACTTGAATTTTATGACAATGTTTTAGTGTGTTTATTTTTAACATTCATTAAAAAAATCACAAAAAAGACAAAAACACATCTGAATTGATAAAATTGAAAAAGGAAGGATTTTAATAATAAAACTGTCAATAATTTAGTATTAAATTATACAAAAAGATCATTATTAATTAATGAATACGTCTAAGCATGAATAGAAGTGTTTTTGTCACACAACTTGAATCTTTAAAAAAATGTGTTGCACTCCTGACCATAGAAATATTGATCTGAAGCACAGACAGATCCTGTAATTGATAAATCTATTTGGTAAAAATGTTCTTTGTGTCTTTCTTTTCCAAAATAAAAATCAGAAAATCATATAAAGATAATAGTTTTTTCATGCTTGGGAGCAAAACATCAAATGTTGCACTCCTGACATTATTGGGTATGCACATATACTTGACTCTAATTAATGCTGCTTGTGATTTATATAACATTTTTAAGATTTAAAATGTCTATCAGTTATTGTTTTACACTTCGAAAATTCTTTTTTGTCTTGATTTTCTTTCAGAATTTTACAATTGATGTTTTTTTGGCAACACTACATTTTTTCTGTTGCACTCCTGACATGGTATGACATTTTTTTAAACATCAGCCATGACAACAACTTGATTAAACAAAAGTTACTACAGCCCACATTTAAAGCTCAATACTTTGAATATTATCAGGAAAGTCTTTATTTTCAACATAAAGCATTATTATTTATTTCACAGATCTCCAAAAAATATTGAAATTTCAAAATGTCACAAAAAGGTGTTGCACTCCTGACAATTTTAGCATCATTTTTGGGCATAACTTTTTTGTTAATTGAGATATCAACCAGATATTTGGCAGGTATTTAGACACTATCTAAAGACATATGCTGAGACATAGAAATCTATTTTCATTGCCTGTATTTTTAGTGTGGGTTGATAAATATGCATTTGGTCATTTTTTTTGAATTCACCCTCATATAGAGACGTCACCATATACCGGTGAAGGGCTTCAAATTTTGACCTTTACTCGGCACTCAGGGCCATTGAGCAGTGAGGGATCTTTATCGTGCCAACGCCTGCCGTGAGACGGGGCCTCGGTTTTTAAGGTCTCATCCGAAGGACCCGCAACTTTCACTTCAAAGTGCCGAGCGCATGGCGAAGGAACAGTTGCTACCTATTTTTTATCGACTTAGGTCTGTCGCGGCCGAGATTCGAACTCACGACCTCCCGATCACGGGGCGAGCGCTCTATCAAACATCATCAAGAACAAATGCATCTAATCTATAACGGATGATTTTGGTCGCCTTGTAAGTTGTTAAATAAGATTCACACTCTTCATCCCATCTATCTAGTCCTCAAGTTTAGAATAACATTAACTCAAAATTTAAATCTACCCCTGGCGAGGTTTAGACTAAGCTTAACATCTGAGCTGCGCTCACCTTTGAGATGTGGAATAGATTTATAAAATGTTAGCTGTTCTTAGTGGTAAACCGGGTTCAATCACAAGTGTGAATACGGGCAAGAAAGGGGGGAGAGAAAGCGCGAGAGAGACAGGGAGAGGGGGAAAGAGGAAAAGGGAGGAAGAGAGAGAGAAAGAGAGAAAATTTAAACTGTTGCTAGTTACTTTCTGTAAAATAACTGCACCAATATATATATATATATATATATATATATATATATATATATATATATATATATATATATATATATATATATATATATATTAAGTATTGACCTCTCTGCCGAACAGATATCGTCTTACCAATGCATGTAAATTATTGGTCATTTACTGGACCTGCTGTTTAGCCTAAAAAAAAATACATAATTAGGTATGATTTAATCGAGAATTTTAGAAACAGGTAAAAGATATTTTCTTACCTTGTGTAAAAAGTTGTAACAAAAACAACTTGACACTGATCAACATCTCGTAGTTATTGGAGAAGTATCCTTGTTGCTGTGACCGAAAAGTAATATTGCGAATATATATCTTGTTAAAGATAAGCACCATTGCGAGCATGCGCAGTTATTAAACGTTATTATCTCGATCAACAACAGAAAATGATGCCAACTGCATCTGCGAGAATATTGACCCACTGGGAAAACAGATGTGTAGGTTGAAGTGATGCAAAATTTATTTATTATTCATGTACATTATTTTCTAAAAGCATAAAATTTTCCAAACTATGTCATTACTTTTGGGTACTCCTCTTGCTCTTTTAAAACAAATGAATACAAATTGTAATTTAAATGGTAATTAAATTGTCTGAAATGTAGAAATAATTTGCCATAAAAAATTGGTCAAAATTTGTCCTTGGTAATTTGAGGACAAAAATGTGTCTCCTGCATGAATATTTGTAATTAATTAAAAACAAGAGGCGTAAGGGTCAACTGATCACTTTGGCCACGTCCTACCCCCGGGGGTCATGATTTGAACAAACATGAATCTACACTACCTGAGGATGCTTCTGTACTAATGTGACTATTCATGGCTTTGCTGCTCTTGAAAAAAAAAAGATTTTTAAAGATACTTCTTAAATATTCCTATGTATAACTTTTGATCCCCTGTTGTAGCTACACCTTAATTACCCCCGGGAGTCACGATTTGAACAAACTTGAATATATACTATCCCCCCTCATATAATGAAGTTTTCACATACATAAGTTTAAAGGAGGGTGTAGTCCTTCATCTGAACAAATTTGAACCCCGTTTTACCCAAGGATGCTATGTGGCAAGTTTGGTTGAAATTGGCCCAGTGATTCTTGAGAAGAAGTCCAAAATGTGAAAAGTTTATAAACAACAGACCGCCGGACACCCTTCGATCAGAAAAGCTCACTTGAGCCTTTGAGCTAAGAGCTAAAACCTTACATCAATGATTTTAAGTAATATTACCCACTGTCGGAGCATCAGTTCTCAAAGTACAAAATCATTCAAAATAGTAATACTAAAAGTTTTAGGGGAGAATATTACTTGAAAGACGATATTTTTATTTATATTTCTTCCAAACAGTCTCTCGAATGGTGCAGCTGTAATTTCAATATACTTTGTTTGACATTTAATTGTGTATTCATTAATCATTGGACTTTCTGATATTTATCCACAATCATTGTGTAATTCCGTGTCATATCAATTATTGGGCAATAATAACTGACAATGTTATGAGGGGAAACGAGGGAAAATCCTATGTGTCATACTAGTATAATTGAAATACTTGACATTGGAAAGTTCCTGTTGGAATATCTAACACTTGATCGAATAACCATCATTTATTATTTGGGAGAAATTTATCAAAATAAACAAATGTTGTTGCAGACTACTATTTTTTTTGGGGGGGGGGGGGGCTTAAAAATCAGTACAGTGACTCAATTTTGCAATAAAACTCTTAATTTATCAAAGACGCTGATAGCAGACTTTTTGGATAATTGGTTCAGCTTAAATAACTAACAAACCGTAATATTACAAAGACATCTTGAAAGGATTTGGTCTATTGAGTATTGACTAGGACATTATTTTTATTGAGTTCTCTTGATTTGCATTACCATATGCAATTTATATTTTTATAAACAACACTTAAAACATTCGTTAACTATGTTTTTTGTACATAATATATAATGCATATAACAGTTTCTTTTGAAACTGGATTATTTCTTGCATTATGGAAGAAAATACATTACTATTATTCAGTTATCTGCATTAAGTGTATTTTTTTCTCTTAAGATTACTTTTTCAACAGTTCTTGCAAAAGATCCTTTTAAGATAAATTAATGATAATTACGATAATATTGCACCTAATAATCACTTGAATTTTCATAACTTTTGACAGCCCTAAATTTAAAAATATTACATTTTATATTATAAACCTAATGTTTTGTTAGTGTCTTCTTCAAATGATTATTTTCATACAAATATAGAAACCCAGGGCAGGTTTGTAGCTAGAATATTGTGTGTAACGTGCGGAAGCGCTAACTGGACTGTTTTCAACAAGTCAAGAACTCCATTAAAAGTTTATGAATTTATTTCACAGGACACAGAAACAAAACAATACTGTTCAATATTCACAAAATCTCTAGTGTTTCATAAATTAATAAAAACCTCTATAACTGGAGTCTTATCCAGTAATAATAATTCATGTGCAAGTCTAACTCTCTTAGACCTAATAAAAATCCTGGTAATCCTAAGTATAATCCCCAACTGGTAATAAACCAGTAAACTTGAAAATCTAAACCAGTAATATACCGGTAAATAAATATTATTCAATCTCTGAATAAAGTTTTCCCCCACACCACTTAATATTATCAAACTATTAACTTAAAGAACTAAATTAAAGGACTTATCGCATGATTTTTCAAACATCTGAATTTTATGAAAAATATTATTTACAACCTTGTTTATTAAAATTCTGAATACAATAAACGTTGTTGAAAGCTTATTTTAAGAGATATTGAGAGTTGAAATTCAAATACGGCAATATGCATATTTCAGTCGGATTTCGGCAAAATACTGCTCTGACGTCATAGGCGACAATTCAGTGATAGAGAGATGAGAAGTTGCACACTATTTACGGAGTTATCAATGACAAATGCAGTTTAATTATTAAAAATGCTGAAAAAATTAATTCCTAACGTGATTTTCAATTACTATAGAAACATTAACTAGTTCTAAGGTGTAAGAATTTTGAGATATTTCGTTTTTTATTCGAAACATTTAGAATCTGTAGGTCTGATTACGGCAATGTTTCGTGATCGGAAAATTATTTTTCAAAACCGCCATCCTTTACAAAACATATGAAGGCATACTTGCATAAATTAATATTATGTTAAAAACTAAGAATAACAAAGTTATGTAATTTAAATGTGTGAATCAAGTAAGCTAGTTCATACATGTGATAAAATGACAAATCAAATTGTATTGTTATGGCGAGTTTCTTCGTCTTCGCCGCGTCTCCCTCGCTATCGTCGCTGCTATTTTTACAATGTTAACGGATTTTTCAGATTATTTCTTGCTGACATTCTAAAATATAAGGTTGGATATTATATTTCATATCGATAAAATCAGTGATTTGGTCGTCCATAACGCAGAAAATTCAGGTTGTATCGCGTATATTTTAGTAAGATTTAGGTGAAGAGCTGATCAGCCATTGTCGCCTTTGACGTCACAGGGTCACGTGATCGCTATCTGATTAACTTAGATTTTTAATTCAGGGGTTTTCATGTGAGTCAATAATTGGTTAATTACCGTGATTTATCCGCAGTAAAAACACAAAATTTATAAACTGTGGTCATAAGTAACGTTTTATGCTCTTAATTTCAAATATTTTAGAAACATGCGATAAGTCCTTTAAACACGCACCTTGATACAGTGGTGTAGCCTACTGTTCAAACTCTGCAACTCCGCGTTCTTACTATAGATACGTCATTAAATACTACGAAATGACGTAAAATACGTTCACCAATCAGAAACATCGCGCACCTGATCATCAACCAATCACAGGCGATACGCGATACCCCAATTCCCACGGCAACGAAAACGTGTGCACATGTTTCACCAGAAAATAGAAACAAGTAAAATATTATAACTACCTTATGAACAAAGTAAATTTCGAAATGATTATAAAATATTGACATACAATTAATTAAATAAATCGCCGCTTACAACTTTTCACATCTTAAAAATAATGCATTATGGGAAATCGCACTTCCGGAATAACAACCATGCGGCGAAAACATATCAGGTAACAATGTTTACCGAATAATAGCTAAATAAACACTGTTTTAATTATGCGATCTCGTAAAGAATATAGAAAATATAGATAACAATTAGTTCAACATCATATCAGCATTAAAGTCTTAAATAGCAAAGAAAATAACTTGTATTTGGCAATGCACATCGTCTGACAGCAATCGGGGGTCATATCAAAACACAATTTATAAAAAAAAATGTATTCAAGTGATATAGTAATAAGTTAAAACATCGTAATTATAATATCGCTCTCACTACATCTGTCACATTGTGCAATCAAGACCTTAAAACGATCTCACCAAAACTTCGTCAAATATGACTCGATTGTTATTAAATTTATATGTATAATGGCAAATAGTTGATATAATGGGCATTTAAACTAATGACAAGGGCAAAAACCTGATACACAGTAAAAATTTAGTTTGTGGATATAAGAGTTTATGATTTTAAGAGAATATTGAAAAAATATACACACAAAGTGTGTCAAAACATGTTTGATATAAGAACGTTCAGACAATATTGATATTTAAGCCTTTTAGTCGTACATAGACACACTTTTTCAGTCATAAAACCGACTGTCTTCAATATTTTTTCTCCAAATTTGCTAAAATGTTTAATGACGATTTTTTTCACCAATAGAGAAATCGATAGACACATGATTAATTCCTTATGGAGAAAAATATACATTTATCTTCTTAATAAGAGCCTCTGGTTTTGCAATAAATTTCCCACAAGAAACTGATTTAGGCATGTAATAATTACTAAAAGTATTGCTAAGCTTTAAAAATTCATCTACCTTTCCTAGCATAATTCTATTAATTTGTAGCAAGAGTAAGCTTAAGAGCATTGACAAATACTATAAACAAACAAGATGTGTTTTTGAAACACTGAGGCCCCAGTATGGCAGCTTATTGATAAGGTCAAAGTGTTTCATGTGTAGATCAAACTCCAAGGTCAAGGTTAAGAGGTCAAAAATGTTTGTACTCAAAGAAAGGTTTTGTCACAAGAAGAACACAGGAGTTCAGGAGTTATGGACAAGGTTTAAGTCTTACTTAAGTAGTTCAACTCCAAGATCAAGGTCAAGAGGTAAAAAAAACTTTGATAACAACTTCAGAAAAGTTTTGTCACAAGGAATCATTGTCGGAACCCACGGGTATTTTCTCTGTTACACTGAAAGTAGTGTAAGGGGGAGAAAACCCGTGGGTTCCGACGATGACAAGGAACATACTTGTGAAATATATAAGCCCTAGTACCAACCATTCAAGTTCTAGGTAATGTTAAAGTTTTTGCGGACAAACAAACAGAGGACAGACGGACGGACCAAAACTATATGCACCCGAATCTTCGGTAACAGGGTCATAAAAATTGGATGCATGTATTGGTGTATACAATATTTGCTTGTAAATGATTCAAATATTAAATTAAGAAATAGTAAATTTTCTATGATGTTCAGGAAATTCTTACTTTTTGCCATCACCCTTATATAAATCTATGTATTTTTTTTTCTTTATTGATCATTATGTTATATGCTCTTATATAAAAACAATATTTTTTCTTAAAAATTTAAGCACTTTTCAAACACATCAAAATTTCATATCTGGGCCCAGTTAGATCTCAATTTCTGATTTTAGGATCCGTTTCTCTGAAAGTTTCCTTACTTAGGTGAGGAGGAGTGGAAATATTTATATTTGGAATAAAGAGTACATATATTGAAGTTGTGCATCGACACACCTGCTCTTTTATGCATGCATATGAGAGCAGTTTGCAATTAGAAAAAAATCAAATCTTAAAGTTTATTGCATATACCTTTAAGTTAACACGTACAGTGACCATTGAATAAAGGGTGACAGTTCCTTTTATTAGAGATTAGATGCCTACATCTTTTGAATATGATTTATAAACAAAATACTAGCATAACTTTCATCTATACAACATTAGAGCAGTGTAGTGACCATTATTGTGGCGATATGCACTACCGATATAAAGTTACATTAGAAATCAGAATCCTGGTCCTGAATGATATAATTACCAATGTAATTAGATCATTAACAACAATACCCTTTTCCTATGATGAAAAAATTCTAGATTTCTATCATTAATAGAAAAGATCCACGTTCACTAATGCTATAAAATGAAAAAGCAAAATATGTACCACCTTGGCCACCAATGATATATACATGTGTATTTTGATTTCATTGCTGGATGGACTTGTAACCACTGATGGTATGAATATTTTTTTTTCAAACTGACTAGAATGCGATGCATTTTTCATATTTATACATTTAGATTTACTCTTTTTTATTGTTTACCTGGGTTCCTGTCAATCTTTCAGAGAGAGAAAAAAAGAAAAGTTTTTTTGTTTTTTTTTTTTGTTTTTTTTTGTTTTTTGCGATTTTTCAAATAGATATGATATTAACCTCTGAATGTATGACGATTTGTATGTTAAAGTTGCAAAACTGTGGGCCTTGTGTATTTGTAGTCGAAGGTGTCGTGCCAAAACAAAATACCCAGAAGTGATACTGTTATTTATTCCAGTCATAGGTGTACCCCTACCCCCTCCCCAAGATTAGATCCGGATAACGAATTCATCTCCTTTGTCGCCTACATTGTATGTTACTTGTGAGTAAAATTCCAAGCCTCTTGTATAGAACTTTATTTTGCAGATAATTTCGGTAAATCAATTTTTTTTATATGGAAATGTAAATTCTTTTAAAAATTCAAATATTTCATTCCAGGTCTCCTATGAATCTGATTTACTGCGGTGAGAAGTCAACAGTACCGTGTAATATCTGTCAGTCCCACAGAGCTCTAAAAGACAATAAAGAAAAGAAAAATTGTTTATGATGTTTTCTTTGGTAATAAATTCCCCCCTTGGATTCCGTCTCCTCTTTATTAGACAGATACGCAGTTCATATTGAGAAGATGCCTAAATCATTGACATTTTGAGGGATTTGCGGGAGTAAATCTATGATCAACAGAATAGTTAGCTCTGGCATGTTTAGGTTAAATTAAAGAACGTTTTCAAAGTGAGCAAAATCTTTTGTCAGATGTGATATAGAACATGCCTGACAAACAAATATATTTTGCGCGAAACAGTTACTATCATTATGATAATTCCAAAATTTTAAGATCTCGAAAAGTTAATTAAAATACTGTTTGGGGTTAGCAAGTTACATAAATGATCAAAACAATGTTTTAAAATATTAGAGCATCATTGACAGTTCTAAATTATTTCAAGAAGGTTGCACGCGACGCTAATGCATGATTGCATAGAAACTGAGTTTTTCTCTATAGGAAAGGATACATGTCAAATACGGCCATTTCAGGCCTAATCATAATTTATATTATTCATAAATCTTTGTTAACAAACATGCTCATGTAATGTATGGCACCTCAATGTTCATGTCGAAATTGATGAGATTATTGTTTAAATTTGGTAATGCCAATTTCCAACTCACCATTGTCCATTTATGGAATATCTCTTTTGTCCTTACAATTTCTGTACATCTAAAAATCTTTATAAAAACCCCTGATTTCCAAGCTGACAAGTCAAAGCAGCGTATAACAATGTGCCTGTCCTATTACATATAAAAAGTGAATAATTTGTATTCTAAATTATTTTTTTCATTTATCATTTCTTTTTAGTATTTTTTTCCCAATAAATACATTTTTAAAATCTGCAGGCATTCATTAATAATATCTTGACAGAACAAGCTTGTACTTTTCTGCGCATGTCCAAGAAGTAAATAAAACAATATAAATCTTGAGGAATTAATAGATTCAAAGTCAGAAAAATGCTCAGGGTGTGCATCATTTGTATTTCCTGTTTCGTTGCAGAAGGTAGGGAGAATTTATTTTAATTTCAGATAATAACTTTTCAAATTTAGCTTAAGTACACGTGGATGAAATAGTTTAGAATGCAATAAGATTTTCTTGAATTGAAAAATTTATACTTTAATAACGAAAAATAATTGGCAGACAGGCGCTTTTTTTCTCCTACTACCCAAAGTTAGAAGATTTTGAAAATTGCAAAATTTAAAAACCCCAGATCTCATGGGGGAAAGGGAAATAAGGTTTACAGAGATTCATAAAACTTAGCCATATATAATGCTTGAACATAGACTTTACTATTTTTCACTGCATCTTCATTTCAGTATAGTTTTGAAAAGAGATTTCAATTTACACAAAAGTATGAGTCTTCCAGGAAAATTCATCTATTTGTCAATAGGGTGTTGATTTTTGAGATCTTTCGATATTAAATATTCTTTATTTATCACCAGCGTGTGGTGCACTAATCTCGACATCTTGACAAAGTTTTTTTTTCACAAACTGAAAGAGCAGTAGCACTAATTTTTATTGTACTTATATTAGCTTCTAAAATATGCAGAATCAAGGTCAAGGTCACATCAGTATTCTTTTTTAGAAAAAGGCATGAACTTTGAATTTTAATATCTTATAATATAAAGAAAATCATCTTATTCGACACTTCCAAATAAAAACGCCAGATGTGAATATTTTCATGACGTCAAGATTGGTCTTGGGTCCACAACGATTGTCTTATTTCAGCATTACTCTATTTCTGTGACGACTTGTAAGTAATTTTTGCAAAGACTGTGGATTTTTTTTCCCCATACAACACATGTAATTGCATTAATCAATAACAAAAATATATGGATCAGAACCATAAAGTATGAATTTTCAATTTATTTAATAGATAATACTAGGTTTTAGTTGAAATATCAAACAATAGGACTATATGTCCCTTACTGAAAATTGAAGTCAGTATGCAAATATTATAATAAATCATTTCTAGATCGATGTTAATTTAAATGTGAAATATTTATATTCACATTGTAACTGCTTTCTTATTACGTGGGAACTCTTACGGTAGGCATTAGATTCCACATAAAAATCCTACTTTTAGACGTATGGACTTTTTTGCTGGGTATAAATGATTAAGATATACAAGTATATCGGTTAGTTTATATGTTTAATGAATTATAGTTGTTCATTTTCGGTCGGGGGGGGGGGGGGTTATATATACACATTTTCCGCACAATACAATAACAATAATTATGTCACAATGTTAATAAAACATTATATTAGCCAATGGCCAACAACAAGCAGTACGAATGGAAGTCAAAACTCAATCCTGAATTAAGATTAATTATACATCAGAGTATCTGTAAAAAGGCAAATTGAAATTGACGACTTTTGTCTCAAACACAGGAACCTTTACTAACAAGACGGTAGCCACAAGTCAGCTAGTTAGCGATCTTCTTCAGGACTATGATCCCCGGTTGCTGCCCGTCAGGAAAGCTCATGAAAAGGTTTCCATTCTCATCAACACAGCTCTTCGCCAGCTCATAAAACTGGTACATAAAGTGATATCACTAAAACTTGGGCAAAAAATATGATACTTTTTTGTAATTTCAAGAATATGTTCGCTTTTAGTCACGTTACAAAGATTATGGGAAAATGTTTTAAGTTTTATTCTTTTACACTTCAGGATGAAAAGAACCAGATAATATCGTTAAATGTTTGGATGCGCTTAGTAAGTATCGAAAAAATTCTACAGATCAATTTTTATGCCCCCGTATCGAAGATTCGGGGGTATATAGTTTTTGCCTTGTCCGTCCGTATGTCTGCCTGTTTGTCCGCAAAAAACTTTAACATTGCCCATAACTTTTGATTGGTAGCTATGGCTTTCATATTTCACATGTGTATTTCTTGTGACAAGACCTTTCTTTGGGTACCATCATATTTGACCTTGGAGTTTGACCCAGTTTTGCAAAATTTTACCGAACTTTAACCTTATCCATAACTTTTGAACGGTTGGTGCTAGCGCTTTCATACTTCACATATGTAATTCTTGTGACAAGACCTTCCTTTGGATACCAACAACTTTGACCCTTTGACCTTGGAGTTTGACCTACTTTGGAAAACTTTAACTTTGGCCATAACTTTTGAACAGTTGGTGCTAAGGCTTTCATATTTAACATGTCTTTTCCTTGTGACAAGACCTTCCTTTGGATACCAACAACTTTGACCCTTTGACCTTGGAGTTTGACCTACTTTGGAAAACTTTAACTTTGGCCATAACTTTTGAACAGTTGCTGCTAAGGCTTTCATATTTAACATGTCTATTCCTTGTGACAAGACCTTCCTTTGGATACCAACAATTGTAATCCATTTACCTTGACCTTGAAATTTGACCTACTTTTGAAAAACGTTAACCTTGGCCATAACTTTTGAACGATTGGTGCTATGGCTTTCATATTTCACATGTGTATTTCTTAAGAGAAGGCCTTTCCTTTGGTACCATTAATTTTGACCATTTGACCTTGATGTTTGACTTACTTTTGAAAACTTTAACCTTTTCCATATCTATTCCATGTTTGCTGCTAGGGCTTTCATATTTCACAGGTACATTCCTCGATACAAGACCTTACTTTGAGTACCAACATACTTGATTTGCATTTGAGAAAGTTTAACCTTTGCCATAAGTTGCCATACTTTGGCATCAGTGTTTCACACACACATCTTGTTTATGGATAGCAATTTTATTATAATTTCATATAGTGAGATATAGATATCGCTCACTGTTTGGTGTGTCTCTGAGTTGTTTGCTAAATTCACTTTTGCCATTTAGTGGTGGAACGACCCTAGACTGGTCTGGAATATCAGCGATTACGGGGGAGAGGATCAGATCGTATTGCCGTTCAAAGAATTGTGGACACCAGATATAACTATTTTTGATAGGTGAGTTGATGAAACTATATACTAGTGTATACTACCAGGTATGTGCACGGTAGTCCTGTATGTAAAAGGATGTCTATCACAATAGCAAATGATGGTTACATCAGCTACCTTTTAGACTACAAGTCTTTACTAGTATTCGTTTTATTCATTTTCCCACGTCTTTTCTTACAGCTTATATCTTATAACTTAATTTGGCAGTATAAATAAAAACTTTTAAATTATTTTGCTGAATTTCTTTGATAAAATAAATTCTGTCGAAAAGGACATATACTTTTAGAAGCATGGAGTCGTCTTTTATTTTTTTTTGGGGGGGGGGGGTTATTCTTTTTCATCTCTATGCTTATTTTTTTTTTAAAGATATTTATACATTTAAATTTACTCTTTGGTTTATTATGAATTGTATAATATTTTGATCATCAAAATATTGTCAAGTTTTAAAAATGTTTCATAAACTCTCTCCGGTAGAAGTTTTCAATTATTATAACTCTGTTGCCCTTTGTAATTATATTTCTTGGAAATAATGCCCGCAAATGCTCAAAAATTCATTTGCTTGTTGTTGTTGCTGTTGTTTTTTTTTTTTTGTCTTGATTTTTTTTTTTGTTTGTTTTTTTTTACTCTGGATAATAGATATCCTTTGTATTCTGTCTGCTACGCTTTCTCAGTTTAAAAAAAAACCTAAAATACTATTGCTTTGTCATAATATATTTAAAATAGATCCTTGAAAGATATTTTTAGCGATTATAAAAAAGATTTCTTTATGTCTTCCATTTTCATTGAAATAAATTTAAATGCATACTACAAAACAGGATTTGGTTCCAAACAAAAATCAAATTAAATTTACCCTAAAACATTTTCGTGATTTTTTTCTTCGAGCTAAATCTTTCATTTATCTTTTCTTACTTTTGAATGATAAAGAATTAAAACTTACTTTGTATCTCAGCATTAAGCTAGCCTAATGAATATATTTTTTTTCCTTAGCGCATCTGAAACGATGATGCCAGGTCGCCGAGAGTACCGTCCTATAGTACTACATGACGGGACAGTGATTTATCTCTTCCCGACAATTGTGGACAGCATCTGTGTCATTGATGTCTTGTACTTCCCCATGGATACCCAAGAATGTCGCCTTATGTTTGGGTCGTGGTCACATTCCGGAATAGAAATCGACTTTTTCCCTAAAGTTCCAACAGGTACTGTAGTAATTATAATGATAAAGAAATCGATGTGAATTAAGTCTGGCCAATCGGCTGACTCCATAAAAGAAAACGAATTTCACCTTTATCAAAGTTTACTTCATTTATAGCAATATTTTAATAATAAAAGCAAGCACTTAGGATTTTAAAAAAATGCATGTGTATTTGTATATCGTTATCAAACATAGAATGAAAGAATAAACGAGGTAAAAGTATTGTATCTGGCTTTAAACATTTAGAATCACCAATTATGTGCCTTCTTTTGATGAAAGTTGCATATTTGTTATTAAACCATATTAATTCAGAAGTTGTATGGATGGCGTTTGTCATTGTAGGTGACATGGATTTCTTTATCACTAATAATGAGTGGACTGTCCTGTCCTTTAACGCCAGAAGAAATGTGGCTTACTACAAATGCTGTCCGGATCCGTTCCCGGATGTGACGTTTTACCTAAGGATCCGCCGTAAACCCCTCTTCTATATTCTATCTGTCCTCTTCCCCTGTATTCTGACGTCATCAGTGGCCATATTAGCTTTTCTGTTGCCCCCAGATTCCGGAGAAAAGGTTTCCTTGAACGTAACAGTTCTCTTGTCTCTGGCTGTTTTTCTTTTGATGGTCAGTGACCAGCTCCCTGCTTCATCAGACCATTTTCCATACGTAGGTGAGCACAAAGCTAATGAAATGTAATTTGTGGAATACACCTAAGTTTGATCAGGTTATAATTGGGTCAATTTGCCCTCGAACTTCTTTAAATGAATTGCTTATAGCCAGGGACACGTCTTCATTGAAAATCACAGTTCGCTGTTTCGCTTTATTTCCGCGATTTGACACTGCTTTTACGCGACAAATCATACTGCTTTTCCGCGATTATTTGGAGTTCATTCGATACGCAATAGCTTGCTCTACGTACGAACACTTTCTAAAAGGAGGCAAACTATTGACAAACAAGATGATGATACAAGGATATCAACAGTCTTATTTAAAGTCAACATTTCGCAAATTCTATAGTCGATACAATGACCTTGTTAGCAAATACAATCTGTCGTTAAGTCAAATGCTGACTAACGTTTTTCATACTAATTGTTAGGCCATTATTTTCACACTGAGTTGTCTACTGATTTTTCCGTTTGCCCGAATGATGATCGAGAACGTGAACGTTGAAATTCATGAAAAATATTTACGTATTTGATATCATTCCGAAGTTCCATTAAATTATAATTGAATGTTCATCATACTTTAGTGTATTTATATTTAATAAAAATATCTGAATTTTACATTCTTCTTTTCACTCTATGACCGAATAAACATCGGCATTTAAGTATTGAAATTATAAGTTAAATCAAAAAGAACAACATACTCGATCATTATTAACATTAAGATAAAGGTTAAATTTGAATTTTTCCTTGAATAACGACTCGACTACTCGATTGGGAAGGTAGACGAGTAAATAGTTACCAAAATTTTATCGATTTGACAACCCTATTTCAAATTTATTTTCCCGTTTTTTATGTTGCAGGATAAACCAGTTTGTAATTTTAGAATCTTGATAACTTTAACAAACTTACAAAAATCCATGAAGGCTATAACTTTTTAATATACGGAATATAATGAATGGCACAGCGCCATTGAAGCCCAAATAAAAACTCTATATTGTTCGGACGAATTAGATATTGTTCTGATAAAGAAGATAATTTTTCGGCCAACTTTGTTCTTTGATACGTACAGTAAAACAGGATTAAAGTCAATTCATCGCAGTAGTTTTCTACATTGTATAATTTATTCTGGTGACTATAGTTTATAAGATTATACATTTGGTTTACTTCCCAGGTATGTATTTTGCGTGCTCCATGTTTCTCGTGTCCCTTTCCCTGTTGATGACGGTGTGCGTTTTAAACATGCATTTCCGAAGTCCGGGGGATGGGAAGGCTCCCTCCTGGATGCACCCAGTATTCCTCCATTTTGGCAGACGGTTTCTTCTTTGCCAATCTGAGAACAAAGTCCAACCATGTAAACAGAGACAATTTTCAAACATCAGATTGCAGGTAGAAAAAATTAATCAATTATTGCCCATTTGTTAATTATTGGTAAATTATTGCCCATGTATAAGATCAATTCGAATGATTTATAGCTACATATACCTAAACGAACAATACTCACCAAGCTCGAAGGGCGACGTGAATACTGTATTGTACTTCGAAGATTGCTAAATCATCGTATTGACCAAAAAAAAAAAAGCAAGGATTTATTTTTATAGAATCCAATTATTGAATGATACAAGCTTGACACTTTTTTTCAAAGCTGATTGCATTCTACTGGAGTTTTAGCCGAACGCGCTGAGAGACTCTTGATTTTATTGGACGACAAAAATACATGTAGAACATGACCAATCGTATCAATTTGGAAGATTTATTTTTGGTCCAATTTAGAAAAAAATCAAAATTTATATTCACTTGGAAGGTCGGTTGTAAGTGAACATATCTTATGATTTATAGAATGTTGGATTTCAACCAACCAGAAATCTAGGAATCGTTCATTCATATTCATGTACTACTAACCAAAAATGAAATGGTCTGTCAAACTTCGCAGGTAATTTGATAGAGTCAAATGAAAAAAAAAAAAACATTCATTTTCCTTTTTAGCCAAAATTATGATAATTATGAAAATTGTCAAATCAAAAATGTCAGACCTCATAAGACGGGAAATAGTATAAAGCAGCAGTTTGGTGATCTCGACAAGTCTTGTTATACATAGAAACATAACAATGCGTGAACATGAAGACGACAAGGAATAAAAATCACAGGATATGTTAGAAATGTTTCACTCGACACAAAACGAGGTCGTCTGCATTATTTTAAGACTTCTAGAACATTCAATTGAACAGAACTTGTTCATATCACTAATTTAAGATATCTATATTAGCATTTTATATTTAGAATGACTTCAATTTAATTACACAGGTCTTTTCTTTTTTTCTTTTTTAAAGAATATTGGAAGATACTCTGACGATCAGAATAGCAATAGATCCCCGATGTTCAACATATCAACAACAGGTCTAGAAGACGACTCCAAGAACTCCAACATTTCTCTCAACGTCACCAACTCTCACAAGGAAGTCACGCACAACGAGAACGAGAGTGTATGTGATGACGCCGAGATATTTGAGGGTCGCGTGAATGAGTGGCAGGAGATCGCCATGGTCATGGACCGATTGTTTCTGATCTTGTTCATTTTAATTACACTGATCACCTCCATCGTGTTTCTTGGGCTGATGGGCAATGAATGATGATTAACAATTTATTTTTATAGATAAAATCCAGATATGATGCATGTGTATGATATTGGTTGACTTTGCATCCATAGATTGTACATTAATATGTAATATGTTGACGGTGCGACCGTTGGGGCGAGCGCATTGTTCACTTCATTTTAAGATCCGCCTCTTCAAACCGCACGAGACATTTGGAACGTCTAGACTGTGACGTCGCATGACGTATGTTAGCTGCATTTCCATAAACAAAGTTTAAAAAGTGCACATAATTTAACAGAGAACGTTTAATCTACTATCTGCATGCGATATCCATTAAATTAAGGTGAGTTTATTTTTTGTGAAATTTTAGTTGTTGTTACCGCGTGAATGAAGTTAGCAGCGAGAACAAGAAGCGATGCATTGTGGGTCAGAATTACTGCGGAAAAAAATTCTATTGAATGAATGTGCAGTAGTCCGAATTTTCTCTTCGCCCAGGCGTTGTCGTTAGAGCTCGCAGTGACGAGCGGCGCTTCGCGCCGCTCGCTGCGCTCGCTATTAATTTTATTATTAGCGGCCATCTTTTTACTTATTTAAAACATATTAGTGGACAGTCGCGCTATCTATAAATGTCTTTAGTGGTTAACATGATATTTGACCCCTGATTCAGTTTTTTTTTTCATATGCCAAATCAGCTTTAAATATCGGGCTGCTGTTGCACCGAAGTATCATAATTCTCCTATATGCAATGTAACATTCATTTACACCTGCTTTTTTCACATTCACAATCTGCAATTGTGTCGTGTGTTTAAAAATGTGACGAGAGAAATTTTATTTGTCCTATTTCATCTCAGATTAATAATTAATAATTAAGTCTGTCTTAATCATTTCATTCTGTAAGTGTTAAATATTTTCCCAGAATGCCAAACCCTGAATTCGACTTATCACATACCAGTAAAAAAAAGACTAACAAAGATGATGGCGCTTTTAAAACAGGTCGAGGAAACTATTATCTGTGACGTCAGAATAAATTTACATGCTGAATGAGGCACCCAACGTGACTGGCAAACCGACCAATCAGCTAAATGAGTTGCATTATGGGTTACTACTAAAAAAATACTACATGTACGTTTCGAAAAGGCCAGTTTTTGAAATCGCTCTCGGAAAGACAGGATGCATTTTTTCAAGCATTTTACACACTTAATATAATATGTACATCATTATCTACTAGTTTTATGCTCACATTTACATAAAAATGTTTTACAACGGTAAAATTTGGGTTTTCTCCTCTCCATTGTATAAGTCCGTTTGTTGACAGTAGTCTGGCAGCTTTTCCCGTGTTGTACTATCAGTGAATATGAATTTCATGTGACTATTCCCTGGTCCAAAACAAATCGACTCTGAGATGTACTCGCGTTTTTTCATTGTTTACTACCTATACAACTTCTATGTATATGCTACTCTTATACACCTTCTATGATCAATGTACATGAGAATTAAAATACCGTGCAGCAATAGACTTTTTTTTTTTTATAACTGCGTTAACTTTTAATTTCTAGTAAACAAATAACAAAGTATAACAACGAATAACACCAGTAGCATGACAAATTTACGAATATCAAGTTATAAAAACTAGGTTATTTTCTGTGAAGACTTTGTGAGCGGTATTTCAACGTACTATTTAACACGGAAAATCGACTTTGTTTGTTAATGTGAGCATGGAAAATCTTAATTAGTACCTAGTCTTCGTATTTCTTACAAAAACATTAAAAATAGTTATTAGATGACTTTCCCGCAGTCATTTGACATCGCGTCCTAAATTTGCCTGACCCACGTGTTTGTAGTAAACTATAAACATGTAGTAGACCATCATGCTTTTCGGCTCATTCATTGGATTGGACGATTGCTCGCTGTAAGCACCTCTGTGCGCAATGACAACAATATCCATATATGGTAGATACCTCGACCTGTCTAAAGTGCTACAATAATTTGAGGCAAGTTTGGTTGAAAATAAACGGAAGCCCATTTAGGACTTATCAAAAAATATTTTTTGAATTCGTTATAACGAATTGTGGAATTTGATTTAACGAATTTAATTCGTTTTAACAATTTTTTTGAATTCGTTATAACGAATTTAATCTGTTATAACAAATGTGTTCGATTCGTTATAACGAATTCTAAAATTTGATATAACGAATTAAATTCGTTTATTCAAATTCAACAATCAGGACCTGTTGAAAAATATATATGAATTCGATATAATGATTTGTCGAACTCGTTTTTACGAATTTAAATAGTTATTAATTCGTTGACAAATTTAATTCGTTATATCTATTTTTTTTTAATTCGTTATAACGAATTCAACAAATTTGTTACATGTATAACGAATTAAATTCGTTATAACGAATTCAAAGAAATTGTTATAACAAATTAAATTCATTATAACTAATTCGACAATTGTTTTGTTTTGTTTTGAACATATTTTATTGAGTACATCAAAAGGATTGGAAACAAGTTCTTTACAACTTACAAAGTTCCTCTCCTTATATATAACAATTTGTCATGCAAAATAGAAGAAAATAATACAATTAATACAAGTGAAAAAGCAATTAAATAGCATATCAACTAGAAAATCTACATGTTTCGTCAATAAATTTATGAACAGCAGCAAAAATACTGTTATTTATCTGTAAAGGCAAATTAACATCACCACATAATAATAGATTTATATCAATAGTAACCAATTCAAGAGTGAACAAGCGATTAAAAAGAGTACTTCTTGCATTAGAATAATTTTTGCATGCAAAAAAGAAATGGTACACATCTTCGTTTTTTCCACATAAACATAAGGGACTATTTATAATGTTTCGTTTATAAAGATCATAATTTAGAATACAGGAATGTCTTAGCTTAGTATGAATGATATTGGTGTATCGCTTACCAAAAGAGAAGTATGATGGTGGATTTTTAATTTTTGTTATCAAGTTTTTTCGGAATGTTTTGATTGAGATGGCTTCTCTAACCTCTGTTTTTAGTAAATTCCATTGTTTTGCAGCATCAGGTACGAAAGAGTTTCTAAATAATTCTAATCTACACCTTGGAACAATATAATCTTGTTTATTACGGGTATTGTATAGAGATACATGCTCACGCTTATTGGGGACAATATCATGCAAATACTCAGGTACTCTTCCCGTGTGAATTTTGAACATAGTTGTCATTTTTGCAATATATCGCCTGCTTTTTAAAGTTTCCCAACCAGTTTCAGAATATAGTGCTTCTCTAGACACAAAAATCGGAAGTCCTGTTACAATTCTAGCGGCGGTTAATTGTACTTTTTCAAGCTTTTCAGAATCTTGTTTAGAGCAGCCATCCCAAACAACTGAAGCATATTCAAGCATAGGTCTGATAAACGAAATATACAATTTTGATAAGTTTTTTCTACCCATTTTGAACTTCAATTTCTTTAAGAGGCCTAGTTTTTATAAGCACTGTTTACAACACCATCAATATATTCTGACCAACTAAGATTTTGTGACAATAGTAAACCCAAATGGCGATGGACTGGAACACACTCCAGTCTATCGCCTTTAAAAAATAGTTTAGGCATAACAGAAATGTTTTTCTTACTGAAATAAACGACCTTTGTTTTGGATGGATTGAATTTAAGAAGCCACTTGTTTGACCATAGTTCCAAATTATGTAAATCATGATTCAATTTGTATTCCATATCTAATATATTGTATGATGATTGTTGAAGGGAATTATCATCCGCAAACAATCTACACATTGAAATCATATTTTCAGCAACATCATTAATATAAATGAGAAATAATAGTGGTCCTAAAACAGAACCCTGAGGTACACCTGCAAAAATATCTTGTTTTGATGATAACAGATCCTTATACATAACTTTTTGTGACCTTTGACATAGATAACTGGAAAACCATTGGAGAAGATCACCAGATATACCATAAGTTTTTAATTTAAAAATGAGACCTTTGTGCCATACTCTATCAAAAGCCTTTGAAAGATCACAAAAAACCATACAACATGATTTACCATCATCAATGTTTTGAACTATACAATGATACGTTTCTAGTAATTGATATACAGTTGAATGACCAGGCAGGAATCCTGCTTGGTATCGATAAAATAAATCATTAATATGAAAATAATTGTACACGTGTTTAAATATTATTCTCTCCATAATTTTACTAACACAGGATAATAACGATACAGTGTTTTACAATTGGAATTCGTTATATCGAATTCAAAAATATTTTTGATAGGCCCTAAATGACCCTGTAGTACTGAAGAAAAATCCAAAAATGGTTAAAAAGTTTATACACAAATTAAAGGAAAGTTGGACTTCGGAGTAAACTGATCTAAAAAGCTCATTTGAGATTTCAGCTGAGATGAACTAAAATTGCAAGATTCCGGTAAGAGTGACTTAAGTGACCTAAGTCACATAAGTGACTTAGGTGTCATATAAATCCAAATTGTTAAGATTTTAAATTTGTCTGGAAAACTCTTGAATTGAAACCTAGAGATTTGGTTGCTTTTGTTTGTTTTTTAGTGAGTATGGGATGAAAAGTTAGCGTATGCCTCATCTTTTAAAATGAATTTTATAATTTTTACAGCCTTCTTTATAATAAATCATCAAAAGGTATGCAATATACCATAATCTGAGGTGAAATTTAAATCCTCGCTTATACAGACCAGGAAGTATAAATACCTAACAGGTAGATAGCACAGGTAAGCAGGTCATGTGACCTGAATTCCAGTATCGAGCCCAGTCGCCATTACTGTTTTACTTCAGGTAATGTTTATCTTAGTTGAAAATTTTGATATTGACCTAAATAAGCATAATTTTAAAATATTGAATTGCGGCAGAAATTTTTCTAACATTAAGGAAAGTTTTATAAATGTTGTTTTTAAATAATCACAAGAAATACAGTTCACCAATACATCAGGAGAATGCACAATTTTTTTTCCTTTGTATTTTGTTTGTTTGCTGTTGTTGTTTTTTTTTTTTTTACTGGTCTCGACACAAGGATGGTCGTAATTAGAACAATCTAGCATGTAAATTTAACTACTGGGGTAAAGAATGCGACTGATGTTGCTATAAACAAAGTCAAAGATTTTGCAGATTAGCTTGACGGTTTTTTATACAAGATTAAGTAAATTTATATATATTCTCTGAAACTTTATATGACACACGAGAGGCATTCAAAAAATAAGTGGGCGTTCATCAAATTAACTTCTTCTTTTTTATTTAACATCCTATCATAACCGTATTATAACCAAATTTTTTGGACATATTTTAATATTTAATTCAAATAACTTGTACGTATTTCAAAAAATCAAATAATTATATAACAAACTGTTAAAAATTATCGATTATTTAAAACTGCGAAAATTTGCATGATCAAAATTCGGTAATTTGCTTACAATACACTTTATAATGTCTAAGTCATATCTTAAAATAAACGACGTAAACGAAACAAAATTTAAACATTCAAATTTAGTATTATTATACTTTTTCATATTCCAATTGTAAAACACTGCTTCATTGAAAAGAAAATTTCAGAAAACTTGAAAAAAAGGTGAAGTCGAAAGACATCACAGAGCAGTGAGTAGCAATATAATTTTGTTTTAGTACATTTGGGAAACCTCTAAAACAAACTCAGAAAATGTTTGAGGAAATACACAAAATTTTGATTTTTTAAAATAAAACATGCATTTGCATATAAATAGCAAAAACAGATTTTGAGTGGTAGAGACTTTGTATAGGACAGTCTGCAAGGAAACAGATTATGGGAAAAATTCTTTTCCAAAAGAGATGGTAACATCTTGGAAAGTTATGGTGCTTCACTTTTACAGAACTTGTGAAAGTGAAATTACGCAGTAAAGAATTTGAAAACACCGACAAACTAACTTAAACTACTCAAACAATTGTTATCAAACAAATTGTCAAGTATTACAGAGACACTTTGAATAAATCGTTTAGACCCCACGCCTGCGTGAAAAATGTTGACACAGATCGTTTTAGGGAAACTTGAATCACTTTCAAAATGTTGCTTTGGACGTTACAATGTTATAAAGAGTGCTCCATGATGCTAAATTATATTCACTTTCAAATTTTATACACGTATTTTGTCGATATATGAAGTTTCATTCTATTTAATTATACAGAACTCGTGTTAATTTCAAACAATACATCATTGGGTGAAGGGGATTTAAGATTGTTCAAATGAAGGACCACGCCCTCTTTCAAGGGGAGATAATTAAGGTTTGATGAACATTTGGTGTCTTTTTTTCAAAAAAATCTTCTCAAGAACCACTGAGCCAGAAAAGTTGAAACTTGTCTGAAACCTTCATTACATAGTGTAGATTCAAATTTGTTCAAATTATGACCCCCGGGAAAGGGTGGGGCCACAATGGGGGATCAAAGTTTTGCATAGGAATATATAGGAAAAACTTTTCAAAATCTTCTCAAGAACAAAGAAACCATGATTAGTCAAATTGATATGGAAGCATCCTCATGCAGATAGTGTCGATTAAAATTTGTTCAAATCATGACCCCTAGGGGTAGTGTGGGATCACAATGAGGCCACATAAGGGGATAAAAGTTTTATTTAGGAAGACATACGAAAAATCTTTAAATTTCTTCTTCTCAAGAACAACAAAGCTACGATAGACATATTATATGGAATCATCCTAAGCTAGTGTATTTTCAATTATCCAAATCATGACCCCTAGGAGTAGAGTGGGGCCGCAATGGCAAATGAAAATTTTACGTAGGAATATACAGGAAATCTTTAAAAATCTTCTAAAGAACAACAAAGCCATATATATATATATATATATATATATATATATATATATATATATATATATATATATATATATATATATATATATATATATATATATATATATATATATATATATATATATATATATATATATATATATATATATATAAATTGATATGGAAGCATCCTCAGGTAGTGTAGTAACAAATTTGTTCAAATCTTGACCCCTAGGGGTAGGGTGGGGCCACAATGGGAGATTAAAGTTTTACATAGGAATATATAGAAAACATCTTTGAAAATCTTCTTCTAAAGAACAACGAAGCCAAAATTAGTAATATTGATATGGAAGCATCCTCAGGTAGTGCAGATTCAAGTTTTTTTAAATCATGACTCCCAGTGCTAGGGTGGGGCCATAATGGGGGATCAAATTTTTATATAGGAATATATAGAAAACATCTTTGAAAATCTTCTTCTAAAGAACAACGAAGCCACGATTAGACAAATATGAAAGCATTCTAAGGTAGTTTAGAATCAAATTTGTTCAAATCATGACCCCCGGGGGTTAGGGTGTGGCTACAATAAGGGGTCAATGTTTTACATAGGAATATGTAGGAAAAAAACTTTTTAAAATCTTATTCTCAAGAACAAAGCCATGATTAGTTTTATTGATATGGAAGCATCCTCAGATTCTGTTTTCAAGAATAGCAAATCCATGATTTGGTGTGGCTAGAACACAGCGATCAAAGCTTTACATATGAATATGTAGGAGATTGATTGATTGTATTTTGTTTAACGTCCCTCTCGAGAATTTTTCACTCATATGGAGACGCCACCACTTGCCGGTGGAGAGCTGCAAATTTTGTGCTATACTCGGCACTTACGGCCATTGAGCAGTGAGGGATCTAATATGTAGGAGAAAAAATCTGCTGATGAAGACAGCAGGACAATATTGACTCAGGTGAGCGTTGTAGCCCATGGGCCTCTTGTTATTGATATCCTGTTGAAATATTCAGATTTAACTTACATATTTCAGTGTCTCAATCATGGACCCCCGCACCAGTGCCCAGGATGTGATGCGATGTGACAAATGTGAGAGTGCTGTAGTACAGGTGTACTGTGATACATGTCTTGTCAACCTGTGTAAGGCCTGTCTAGGAGAACATGTTTTCGCTGATCTCTCAAAACCTCATAAAATTGTTGACTTCAAGGACAGAAAATCTACCCTCCTCTACTGTGGATGTAATTCCCATAATAAACAACAATGTATAATGTACTGTAATCAATGTGACATTCCTGTCTGCACTAAGTGCATTGCATCTGATCAACATCTAGGTCATAAGGTATCAGAAATCTTGGAAGTTGTGGATGAAAAAAAGAATAAATTAATGGAAGAAAGCACTGAATTAAATGAGACAATTTATCCAACCTACCAGGACATTGCTTCTGATGTAAAAAACAGAATAAATAGGCTAGAAAAGGAATATAGAGATCTCTCAACGGCCATAACAAAACATGGAGAGGACTGGCACAGAGAAATTGACAAACTAGTCAAGAAACTGAAAGCTGAAGTTGATGAGATGAAAACGACACAGATGGAAACTCTGCTGAAACATCAGGATGAAATAAACAAGAAAATTTCTGACATCAAGGATGAAATAGATTCGACTGAAATGGCTACAGACACAAATGACCTGTCAAAACTGTTGAGTGTCACATCAAATGTACATGTCTACAGAAGTCTTCCACGCAAAATTATTTTATCTTTACCCAAATTCATTCAAGGAGAAATCCATGGAGAAGAACTTAGTAAATTGTTTGGAGCCTTATCATCAAGTTCTTTAACTTCAGATGAACATGGTTACAGCATGAAGACACCACAGAAATCACCAGAAGCTGAATCCTTTCCTTCAGTCAAACAGCTGCTTGATGATCCAGAGACTGTCACCACCATAGACACAGGGTATAGAGAACTTCGCAATGTGGCCTGTCTGAGTGATGAAGAAATCTGGACAAGAGGTAAAGACAACACCATGAAACTCTTCTGCATCAACCAGGGATCACTACTCAAGTCAATCAGAACTACATCAGGGAACTGGCCATCTAACATAGCGGTGACAAAAAGTGGAGATCTAGTTTATACTGATTATGATGATAAAACTGTTAACATCGTGAAAAATGAGAAGATAGAAGAGGTGATCAGACTAGAGAACTGGAAACCTGAAGGTGTCTGTAGAACCTCCTCTAGTGAACTCCTGGTTATCTTGCATAGTAATGATAATAAGCAATCAAAAGTTGTCCGTTACTCTGGCTCAGAAGAAAAACAAACCATTCAGTTTGATGATGAAGGTAAAGCTCTTTATTCTTCTGGCTCTCTTTATTACAGATCCATAACTGAGAACAAGAACCTAGATATCTGTGTGTCTGATGGTGTAGCTAGAGCAGTAGTGGTGGTTAATCAGGCTGGGAAACTGAGATTCACGTACCCTGGACATACTCCTGCTCCGAAGAACAAAATGTTCAATCCACGAGGAATCACCACAGACAGCCAGAGTCACATCCTTACAGCTGACGATAAAAATCTCTGTGTCCACATCATAGACCAGGATGGACATTTCCTCCATTATATAGACTGTGGACTGAGTAGACCCCTGGGACTTTGCACAGATACAAATGACAATCTTTTTGTCGCTCAGTGGACAAACAAACAAGTGAAGAAAATCAAATATCTGCAGTGAAATATAATTCCAACAACATAGACTCAAATAAAAGCAAACATTTTTTTGCTGAAATTTACCTTTATATTACTTCACTGAGGAAACTTAATGTAAATGACAAGTGTACCTATGAATATCAAGGCATTACAGAAACAATTATATATCTCTTTCTCCATGGTTGGAGAACCCAAAGAACAATTTACAAAATTAGTGGCAGCGATGGGATGATCTAAACGAAAGAGAGGCAAATTTGTGTTGTTGTTGTTGTTTGAAGCTCACCATCTTAAGGACTGGAGTGTACTTCATATACGGCTTTCAAATTACTGCAAACAAAACATTTGAATATGTCTGTCCCACACTTTATGAACTTTATGAAATTATGAATATTTAAGCTGTGAGTTTCAAACTTGGTTTGAAGTTTTTAGATAGAAAACGTTTCGATGAAATATGAAGATAACGAACAGCACTCAATCCAATTAGTCCAAAAGTCCAATAAAACGTTACAAATTTGGAGCAGAGCAAACAAGGACCTAAAATTTAGAGGCGGGATCAGGGGCCACGGAGGAACGAGCATCCCCCGCCGACCAGCCACACCCGCCACGTGCCCCCGTCATGATCGAAAAAAAAAAACGCAGACCAGTCTAGGTCTAAGACGTGGAGGACAGAGAGATAAAGCATTTAAAGGAACAATTCAAAGAGCTTTCTAAGCAAAGCATGCGTTTTCAAAAAAAGGAACAGTAAAAGACATTTACTATGTCTAAATGATCTAACCGTTAGAGATCCTGGCATTTGTGTCGGTTTGGAGAATGCTTTCAAATCCACTTTCGCCTCAGGTTAAAGAAAATTCTGAAAATTAACGAAATTCTGGCATGTATCAAAACCACTTAATGATGCAAGTAATATTACTTTGCGGAAAAGCAAGGACGATTCCAGACACATGGATTTGAAGAAAGAGCATGAAACAGAGCTAATAAACTAAGCAACGTAAAACCTGCTACCTTTGATGGAAAACGTCTTGGTCGGACTGCAGGTCTCATCTTAATACCTGTGCTTCATCAAACAAGTGGTCAGAGGAGGAGAAGGGAATGTATTTGGTGGTATCCCTACGCGGTGTAGCCCAAAGTTTGCTTGGAAATCTACCAGATAGGTTCAAATGAACTTCCGAGAATTGTCTAAATCTTTGGAGGAACTTTTTTCTCCTGTAAATCAAACAGGCCTCTACAGAGCTCAGCTAAAAGAAAGACGCCAAAAAGCAACAGAAACTGAATCCTACTTTGGACAGGATATCAGACGTCTATGCATACTACATCCGACGGCCTCCGTATACTTGTGTGAAATCCTAGCCAAAGAGTATTTCATAAACGCTCTGGCAAGCTTTGACATGCACCTAAGAATAAAACAGCCAAGACCAGAAAATCCTAATTATGCTATAAGAGACGCTGTGGAAATAGATGCTTTCACTGGCGCAGAGCGCACAAAGCACAGGCATTTTTTTTGCTTGGGAGATAGGCGGTGGAAAATTGTCAGTTGAAACCAACACGGATACTCTAGAGGAAGTGATGAAATCCATGAGAGATATGCTTCAGAGTCTTCAGAAAGATGTTACAAAATAAAGAATGAACAGCAAAGTTCCCAAACAAAGAGTTTGCTTCGTATTAATCAAGTAATACAGCTACTAAAAATGCTTCAACTGTCGAAAGCCTGGATATTTCAAGAGAAACTGTAGGGTTCAAAAAGGAAAGATAATTCCCGGTAGAAAGGTTCTGGACCACCTGGAGGACCCAGGGTAAAGGGTAACAAGAAAGAAGGCACCGCAAAACAAACAGCTTCAGGAAACAAGAGACTAGTAAAGAAGGGCCGTATTGGAGTCCAGAAAAAAGTTGATGAACCAGGCATATACGTTTTGGGGACTGCTAATGGAGTGTCGATTTTAACATTAGTAGATGCAGGAGCAACCGTTGCTCCTCTATTACAAAAAATAATATGAGGTCATAAAAAGTGATAAGAAGACAGTGTTGGCTGAAAAGGAATTAATTATCTTGTCAGCTACGGGCACTCCTTTGAACATTTTGGGGAAGGCACTTAAAAAATTTTAATTTGGGAAGAAAATCATTTACCAAACGACTCTGGTTGCGGACATTAATGTAGATGCGATTTTAGGATGCGACTGCTTGCAGAATAACAAGGTGTAATCAATCTACACGATAAGACTCTTTTGCTGTGAGATGAAAGTCATTATCTGAAAGAGCAAGAGCCACTTAGAGCCTTTTTGGCCCTGTGAATTTCTGAAAAATTAAAACTGCATAGTTTTAGTCGACAAGGCAATAATATCACTTGAACCCTTGGTGACTGAATTTCTACTACAAATGACGAAATTTTCATGATAGTCAATGCATTATGACGTAATGAATAACGTCATTATTCACATATCCTGAATATTTCTTCAAAAATGGCTAAAATATGCTATTTTTCAATATTTCGTATACAGCACAACCTCCGATCCAAAATGTGCAAATATATTACGAAAGACCTGCTTATGAAGATTTTTCAACATATTTTAATTTTTGGATCGAGGTGTGTTCTCATATTTAAATTCTTTGTTGAAGGTTCTCAAATACATCAGTTTTCTGCAAAATTCAAGAACATTACAATTTCATATAACCTGCTTTCAAGTAGCTGGACTCTAGAGGAAACTTTGATACGCAAACTGAAAGCACTAAGTCTGTACTTTATATTGATGTTGAGAATGGGATATAGTGTGTTATTGAATAAATTAGTTTATCTACAGGGCCATTTTATGCATAAAGTGAACCTAGCTCTTTGAAGATAGGTTAGGGATTTCAGGAGGAAATTCTTCAAAACAATATGTCAGTTTTAAATATTTTTAATATTCCCAATAATCAAAATAAATATGAATTACCTTACCAATACTGGAATCCAAAACTCCATAAAAACCCATACAAACAAAGATACATAGCGGGTTCCAGTAAATGTTGTGTAAAGGAGTACTGTACAACAGTATATTCGAGAAGTGTTGTAAATCAGATGTGGATACTTAAAAACTGCATGGAACTTTTAGAAAATTTGAAATGACAAAATTTTAACAAAATCAATAACATCAAAACGTACGACTATTCAACACTTTATACAACCATTCCCCATGATAAATTAGAGTCCAGGCTTTTTGACATCATAGACAGCAGCTTTTTTCAATGAAAATGGAACTCGTTAATATACTTACCTTGTCATTGGTCATTTGCAAAATTGTTTTGTTAAAAAGCATTCTGATTGTACACACAAGTATTCTAAAGCTGATATCAAAAAGATGCTTGAGTTTCTGATTGACAATACCTATGTGGTTTTTGGAGACCAGGTCTTTCAACAATCTGTTGGAATTCCCATGGGTACCAATTGCGCCGCCTTGTTAGCAGACCTATTTTTGTATTCATATGAAGCAGAATTTATTAAAAACTTCCACATGATAAGAAGGAAACACTTGCTGTGGCCTTCAACTCAACATTTAGATATATCGACGATGTATTATCAATTAACAGTAGTTACTTCCATTCAAATGTCGACACGATATATCCCAGTGAGCTTGAAATAAAAGATACCACCGAGTCTGACACATCTGTTTCATATTTGGATATTTTACTAGAAAAAGACTTTAATGGTAATCTAACAACAAAGCTTTATGATAAACGTGATGACATCAATTTTTCAATCGTCAACTTCCCTTGCTTATGTAGCAATATACCCTTATCACCTGCATATGTGGTGTTTGTCTCCCAGTTGATTCTATACGCAAGAGCATGCTCTACGTATGAACAATTTCTAAAACGAGGCAAGCTTTTAACAAACAAGTTGATGAAACAAGGATATCAACAGTCTCGTTTGAAGTCAAGTTTTATGGTCGATACAATGACCTTATCAGCAAAAACATCCTATCATTAAGTCAAATGTTGACTGACGTTTTTCATACTAATTGTTAGGCCATTATTTACACACTGAATTGTCTACATTTTGATTTTATTTTTATTTTTCCGTTTTTACGATCATGACAAGGAGTACACGGCGGGTGTACCGGTCGGCAGGTTTTGCTTACTCCTCCATGGCAACTGATCCCTAATTATCTGGAGGTTCGTGTTTGCTCTGCTCCCGATTTGTTTTGTCTAAATGGACTTTGAGCTTGAACACCGTTCATTATTTCCATATTTCAAAAACACTGTCTCTTCCTTCAAAGGGCGAAATAGTCACCGCTTGAAAGGTAATTGTTCCAGAAAATGAAGAATTCGGGAAAGAATTTGGTGTTATGGAACCCACTTGTTTGTATTTAAATTCTGAAAGGGAATTGGTAGGAAGGACTTAAGGACATTGGCAAGTCAAGGTTTTCCGGAGAAAAAAGGTTTAATACATGGGTTTTTTCACTTATGAAATAGTGATTGAGAGTGATCTCCCGTGTAGAATTCTCTAAGCGGTGAAAACCAATAAAGCATATATTTACAGAGGTAAACAAAAGCACATGTACTTCCTTCAACGGGTAGAATCATCTATACAGCAAGAAAGAAAATTAGTAATGGCTTTGTTGTGAATTGTATTCAGGGGACCAAGATCCAACAGGTTGTCATTTACCATAGTTATGCTCAGTATGCTGGGAAGGGCAAAGATGTGACATACGCTGAAAGGTAGACCGACTGAGATCAGTTCTCAGGTTGTATGAAGGAAGCAGCATTTAGTAACTACGAATAAAATTTGAAATAAATCCATGCCAATATTTTTATGACTATTTGTTTCAATCAATTCAGTCAATTACATGATAGAATCAATCAACCAGTCTGACTCTCTTGACCATTATGAATAATATGTAATTATAGCTGTTAAGGGAAGTAACTCAAAAATAAAGTTTGGTGCCGGTATGTTCTTGTCCTGTTTCTATATATACATTTTCAGCCAAAATATCTAGAAGTCATAGGAAATGAAGATACAATAATGTATATAATACAAAAACTATATGAAATAAGTGGGTTTTTGAAAAATATTATGGTGAAAAATTATGTAGCTCCCTTTTATCAACATTTTACATAGGAAATGCATTGAGAATTGCAAAAACACTGATTTGACAAAATCTAAAAAAGAAGGTTGGCTTGGTAGGTTAAACAATCCAGAATATAGCCTGTTAAGTACAATTAAACCTACTCAAGAGTTATTGAAAAATTCTA